AAGTAATGATGAATAGATTAACAAAATGATATGATTAATGAAACCAAAAAAAAAAAAATTTTACAAGAATATCATGTTGATTAGGGATAGTTTAATTTAGTTATCAATCATGTTAATGAAACATAATCTAAATATACATATATATATAGTTAATTATCATTTCAATATATGATAGAGTTAGCTTCAAAATACTGATAATATCATAATTCATTATTAGGAATTAAAGTATATCAGAATAAAATATACTTTGTCGTTGATGAAATCCACCATTTCAACGTTGTTTACATCTAGCACTTATGGATCCTGGTGTATATTTACAGGTTTGTATTTATTCTTTCTTATGTCATAACTAACTGTTATGTGTTTTGTCCTATTATGATTGTCAAGTAACTAAATCACCAATCAGAACTCGACTTATACGACTTTGGCAATGTGCCTAATCAGTATGAACAGCCTCGAGTAATCTCTGAGTTCTTATTGATCTTTTGTGATAGTAGATTCTCACCTTACTCAACTAGTTCACACCAGAATACCAATATCAACTTTCACTGCACAAATCCTTTATTTCAGTTAGATTCAGTTTATATTCAAACAAAACAGACCACATTATTTCCATAAAATAGAAAATAACAATCATTACAAGATCAAGCTCAATAAGTGACTGTGATTATGAAAGAAGACTGTAATTAATAATTTGTGAATAACTTGAGAATATTAAATGGAATTACAGTAGTCAATAGGTCAAATGGAAGCTTCTAATAAAACGAATATGAATATAGTACACTTAATAAATTATCCAATAAGAATATATGTAGTAATAATAATCCTCGTAGCAACTAAGGTTCATGGTGAGACTGCAATTTATGGACGACCTTTGAGTGACGCTAAAGTGACGTTAAGAATATCCATTTAATAACCATGACCAAATTAGGATTATAAACCTGTGTGAGGAATTAGAATTACGAACTAACATCAGGTATAATGCCTAAACTCCATTTATCCAAATAGATGAATGAATTTCGTGCCCCCAAATGCCCTATTACGCTCGAGAGTCCTCTCTCCCTCTCGAAATGCTCTCACATGGCCACGCGTATATAGCCTCTGCAACGTAAGTCCTACTCATTGCCTTCTCGTGGCGGGCATATTGCTTACGAAATTGAGAGGACGAAAACCAAATGTTCGGCGCTTTAACCGGGTTGATGGACACGGAGAGTCCACGTAGGGGAGTTGGGAAACCGTGATTCAGAACTAATGGTGTACATGGGCTGCAGGATCCTGAGGGAACAAATAGCGTATGAACCAATTGTTAGTCACCGGCTACCATGGGACTGCATCTCGTGGCGTTACTCCATGGCCTTCAAGATTGAACTTTTAACTCGAAGACTCAGAATGTGGCCTCCTAAGAGAATCTATGATGATTAGGAGTATTTGAATTATAGTACTAAATAAGAATCCCAGAAATAACGCAATTGAATCAAGAAGTACTACACAAGCACTAACGAATATACTGTATTTGAAATTCGAAATCAAGCATTCAACAAGTACAAAGGAATCATCAGTTCATTCAAACACCACAGAGCCACCTGTTTTGGTTTGGGAACCTGAGCAGAATCACAGCCCTCACACAGATCAAGTGAGATTTGTGTGGCGCATATGTATCTGGTGCCCCCTTGTATCAATATCTATATGTTAAAATAAAATAAACAAATAAACAAAATCTGAAACGTGTTTAACTTACACTTGATTGGTTCGTCTACAAATTATAGTCTCGTCAACAGGATTATTTTTAACCAAAAATGTTTTGAAATTGTTTGATCACTAGACACAATGCCGATCGATTTGGTAATATGCCAAGATACAATGTGATTGAGTGGTAAGCATTAGCGAGATCGAATAATTGACGAGATCATTAGTCAGAAGAATAATTTTGGAAATAATATAACACTAAGAAATTAATATGATTAGATATGGATAAAATTAAGATTGTTGGTTGTTCATTTGTTAATAAAAGATGGACTGTTGGGCTTCTTCAACAGAATTTGCGTTTATGAAAGTTGACTTCTAGTTTACCACTGTAGTATTACTACTATTATTATTTATAATTTATTTTAACACATAAGTATAGGTACAAGGAGGTACCAAGTACATATGCGTCACACAGAGCTCAATTGATTTCTGTGAGGGCTGTGATACTACCCGGGTGCCCAAACAGAAGCAGGTGGTTTTCTTAGAGGGCCACACCCTGAGCCTTTGACCTGAACGTCTGATCCACAAGGCAGTGGAGCATCGTAATGAGATGCAGTCCCATGGTATCCGGTGACCAACGATTGGTTCATACGCCATTTGTTCCCGCAGGATACTGGAGCCAGCCCATGTGCACCATTGCTTTGGAATGCGGTTAAAGCGCCGGACATTCGCTTTTCGTCCTCTCATTTTCGTAAACAACACCCCCACCACGAGAAGGCAGTGAGTAGGACTTCCCTGGCAGGGGCTATATACGCGTGGCCATGTGAGAGCATTTCGAGAGGGAGAATGGACTCTCCCCACTCTCGGCCGTACCAGGGCATTTGGCGGCACTACTACTGGTTGTAGGTATAAAACAATTGACTGAATTCAGTGAGTTAGTGATTAAATCGTTGGATACTTTTTAACCAAATACTTATAGATTCAAACAAAAACTCTGTTTTATCGTGCTGTGCCTTAATAAGAATAATGAACGGTGATTTTTCGGGATCCATTTATGGACCAATACTATACGTATATTTTGTCGTATAATTGTTATGTAACTAAACTATCTGCATATTCATGTTTCTCTTATTATAAGATTAATTTCAACCTATGAACTATTATTATACGTTTTACCATTCTTGAATTATACCCTGTCTATCAATTATAGTCTCCTTCATTCACAGCCACATTTCACTAAATCTTGTACAAATGTGTATTTTCTATTTTATGGTACGATGTGGTCTGTTTAGTTGGTATATATATCGAGTATGTTTGAAATACATGATTCATATCGCAGAGGCTCGGATTGGTATTCTGGACTTAACTGACTGGGCTAGACAGGAACCGAGACCAATCAGAAATCTAGGCTATTCGTACGGGTTTTACGCGTCATTGATTCGATTGATAATTCACTGCTCTCTTATCGGCGGTCACAAGTTATAACATCTACATAGTTTAATTTATTCAGTTATGTATTAGTAGTAAATCAGACTATTATTCTTCACACATATATACATAAACAGTGACTCAATTGTCGAATTAAATTGTCAATTAACCATTGGCGGCATAGAAGTTAAAAGAAGACTAAGAATAAACAAACGAAAAACACGGCATCTGTTCACAAAGATGTTCACTATTGGTTGGATATGTTGGTTGTGATCCATGAAATAATCGTGACCAGTTGTTAAAGTCGTAGCTCAGAAGTATTTAAAATGATACAGATTTATTCACTTCTTATCTTATTCTAGATCTTGAGTTTCAATATTCCTTCATACATAATACATTAATCTTTCTTAAGATACATTCTTGAATGTTTGATCTATTTACCATATACTTAATACAATCATTATTTCAATTCTTTTCCTATTCATTTTATTGTGAGAACGTATTAATGGTCATTTGGTCTCATGTAAATATTTAGCCAATTCAATGTTGATGTGTACCTTGAACAGGAAATCAACCACTGTAACAATATTTCAGTTGTCTATTAAACTATATGATACTTACTTTCAACATAAAGATCTTAATACAATAAGGGAATCGAAATAATATGCTTCATGTAACTTTGGGGAGTGGGAGGGTGTAACTTAGCGAGAAAATGAAGTTTAGTTTCCATCTGAAAATTCTGTCTTATGATCATAGGATTATAAGTTCTACCAGAGAAATCCTACTGGTTATGATTACGTGGTAATAGAAGTTTTTATAATAATGGATAAGGTGACACTGATTTAATTTAATCTCTTTAATATGGTTGGCGTTATTTTTTGGAAACCCGCTTCCAGTTGAAAAGGAAATTAAGAAAAGACATTGGAAGTGGATAGAACACACATTACGCAATCATTCCTGTGTGAGGCAAGCCCTAACTTCAAATCCTGAAAGGAAGCGCAAAAGAGGAAGGCCAAAGAACACATTACGTAGGGAAATAGAAGCAGATATGAAAAGGATGAATAACAACTGGAAAAGACTGCCCAGAACAGGGTTAGATGGACAATACTGGTGGGCTACCCATGCTCCTCCACGAGGAGTAAGAGACGTAAGTAAGTTAGATACAGTGCCTATGTAAAAGGAACTAGGAAACTACAAACGAATAGAGTAAATAGACTAAACTCTTGAAGAAACAAATGATGTGTGAAATCATTAAATACCGCGGTATCCACCAACTGAAGTTGTAAAATAAACTTATAAATCTTTTAAGTAAACACCCTTAATTTCCAAGGAATTCTATCACAGTTCCAACGACATACGATTAATGAAAGTTATCTATTGTGTTAGAACATATCATTGAGATGGTGGAGAAGATTTATAGCTCAGGTGGATAATTTTGATGGAGTTTTATTCTCTAAGCTAGATGGTTTGCTCATGGAAATTTCATCGTTCTTCTTAACGAAATGATCAGCAAAAAAAAATGTTCAAATTTCTCCATATATGGTTCACAGCTTATCTTGTAGACCTCCAACATGTTGATTGGTTCTTGTTGACCTTAAACCCATCATTGTTTACTTCTTTGCCTTGGTTGTATCTCCCAGTGGTATGATCCAGATCAGAGAACAAAACTCCATCAAAAAACACATCATTCCCAAACGAAGTAAACGATCAACGTAAAACAATAACATACAAAGAGAGAAGACAAATTTACCATGTATAAATTCTATAAATATAAAATGGTTACACACATTCAAAAAAAATCTCAATTACATGTTTGTGAGTGTGTGTGTGTGTGTGTTTGTCTATGTGATGTGAATATGAGAAGAAATACCTAAATACATTTTGAAAAACAAATGAGACCTTTTGAAAGATAGAAACAAAACAAAAAAAAACCCCAATTTGATATACAATAAATAATCATATTTTTCATTGATAGTAAAATAAAAAAATTGGGTAAAAAAAAATTGAATGTTATAAGATTACACAAGACCTGAGATCCATGTCAAACGTATAACATGATCCACTTTTCGACGAGTTGATTTTATACAACCTAAATATTGTAGTTCTGCTAATCCTTGCAAGAAACGACATCTAATAGAAAAACGGGGGGGGGGTAAAACAAAGAAAGGAGATACATAGAGAGAGAGAGAGAGATTCATCCAAACAATAAAGATTGTAACAAACAGAAAAGTAAACTGTAGTTAGTATTAATATTGAAAATCAATTACAAATTACTGCCTATGTGGTTGTGGATGAGCAATTCTAAGGAGTCACATACTAGGACGTTCAATGATTCCAAGTTTTCAATGGTCGCCTACCATTCATCGGTTCATGATCTCAATGAGATTATATACATATATTAGATATGTGGGAAATTTTTACAAATCAGTAATTAGGCAGTCAAAAACGTTCATGCTAATAGGACTATAAATTTCGCAAATGCCCTAACATGTGGCCAAAGATCCGATCTTTCTCATTGCCAGGTAGGTCCAACATACCATCTCAACAGGGCCAGAATGCTTTCAAGAAAGCAATTGACTGAAGAATGGATGTTTGAGGCTTAAATCAACTCTTCAGACACAGAGAGTCCTCCTAGGAAACTTGGAAAACTCTAATTCCAAACCGATGTTTTACAAAAGCCTTAGGATCCTTAAATGAATCTATTTTGATTACCGGATGGAAACCATGAGACCGCATCTTCTCTAGTAGCTTTTTGAATTAGAACTCTAGGATAGATGCTCGAGGAATGGATGATGAGACTATACCTTAAAATGTATATTAATCCATTCGTTAAGAAACATTTTTAATTAAATCATCAAAAACGCCATTTCATCATGAATTTATTGAGAAAATAATTTACACTACTCAAATACGGATTAGTAGTCATATAGTAATTTACATAAATCAATGAGAGTAGGGGTTAGGTATCACTACCATGAAAGCAATTCTATAGATTGTTCCCTAAGCTATCCAACTCAGCTTACAGTTTCCTGTTATTAATTAAAAGATGAACTGTTAGTATATTGATGCAAGGACTACTATGTTTATAGACAACATTTATATTTCCTTGAAAAATCTTGGACCAGATTGCCAGGCGAAACGTTGGATTGACTTCAAATTCTTTTGCTAAGATTTTACAAATACATTCTTCCGCTTTAACATTTATACATGTATTTGTTTCACAAATAGGACAGTTAACTTACTGAGTCTCTTGAGATGGAGGATTTTGTGAGTCAACCGCCTCTCCCAGTATAGTTGCAAATGCCTTAATGAAGAATAAATAAATTAGATCGATATAAAACTGTATGTAAACGATCATATGAGAATATTTATGGATTTCATTAAGTTTAATTCAATCGACAATCCTCAAAGCATCATAACTATATCTCAATAAACTAGTTGACGAGTATACAGATTTATGTGATCTATAGTAGTTAAACATAAGCAGATCACCGATGCAGACGTAAGGGTGAGGATTTGCAAAGCAATAACGGCATTCCTACAATTGAGTAACATATGAAACTCAAGACAACTGTCAACCAATATCAAAGTCAGAATCTTCAATACAAACCTCAAGTCAGTTAGTTCTACTGCACGGAGTTGAAATGTGGAGAACTAATATAATCATCATCAAAATAGTACAAATATTTGTAAACAATTCTCTACTCAAGATACTCAATGTCAGTTGACCGGATATCGTCAGCAACAACCTAATGTGGGAGAGAACAAACCAGCTTCCATTTGAAGAGGAAATTAGGGAAAAACGATGGAAATGGATAGGACACGCATTTCAGAAATCATCAGAGTACATCACGAGGCAAACCCTAACTTGGAATTCGGAATGGAAAGGGAAAAGAGGAAGGCCAAAGAACACACTGCGTCGAGAATCGGAAGCAGACATTTAAAGGATGAATAGCAACGGGATAAGATTGCCCAGGACTGAGTTGTATGTAGAATGCTGGTGGGCGGCCTATTCTCCTCGACGAAGTGTCACATGAGTAAGTAAGTAAATTCACTAACTACATGAACAAACAAGTTAAGACCGAACTTTCGATGAAAACTAGAAAAAACTTTTCAAGTAATCCATAAAATGTTGAGATCGATTAATCCCGCGAGCATTTCTGTTCAATACTTTTGTGTAACCTGACCTCTTTGAGCTGAAGACACATAGAAGCTCTATTTGTTTGAATATCGTCACCTCTGGAGAACTATTTACAAACAGTGGTAATTACCAAGCATGTAATGCTGATGCAGCCATAATTCAAATAATGTTAATATTATCATCTCGGAGCATTAGTTTAGAGAAATTCATAAAAACGTCATCCAACTGGCTTCCATATCGTAGATTAGTTGCCAATGCTGAGATGGAGTAGAAGAAGTGAAGAGGCAAACAGTTTAGAAGGCTTGAATTTGTCAGTCTAACACAACTCTATAGCCGAGGACCTAAGGATAATGCAACTCAGTGGCCTAAGATATTATCATATGTGAAGCGTCTCAATGATGGTTGTGAAGAATAAAATGATGATCCTCTGTGTTGATAGAAACAACACATGTATATATGGGCAATATCATATTTTCTAAGCAGATAATAGAAAAAAACATATTATACCAACAAAGAAAGAGCAGTATTCTTTCATTGAAATATAAGCGACTAGTGTATTTTATTGGACGAATTGAATAGTGTGTGAATATTTTGATAGAGCTTTGTTCTCTAACCTGAATGGTTTGGTCATGGAGCTTTCATCGTTCTTCTGAACGAAATCATCAGCACAAACTTCAAATCAAAGTGAAATGTGCAAATTTCTCCCCAATGTGGTTCACAGTTTGTCTTGTAGACTCTTATGTTGATTGGTCTGTAGATATCAAGGAATCCATTATTTATGAATAGATAAATTCTCATTAAAAATACACATATGTATACACATTAACCATTGCTTACCATAAGCCAATCGTACAAATTCACCATTTTATTTGTTTCAATTAGTAATTTATACAAAATGCATAAATCAAATAATTTCGATGAAATACTACTTGAATTAGATAGTTTCAAATCAGTAATCTAAAAGAAAGATATTTGCAGGTAAACAATGATTTGAACAAATAAAAATAATATAGTAAATTACTTACAGTTAATCATAATTTAATGAAGAGTAGGGTATAATGCAGACTATCCACCTACCTAGCTCCCTGCCTAATTGACATACAACTGATAACCACGATTTATTGGGTGATATATCCCAAATGCGACCGAGAGTCAGCCCTCCCTCTTGAAATACTCTCATATGGTCACGTGTATATAGCCTCTGTCACGGAAGTCCTACTCACTGCCTTCTCACACCACATATGTTGTTTACGAAATTGAGAGGATAAAAAGTGAATGTTCGACGCTTTAACTAGGTGGACCCTCTGAGTTCACCTAGGGGGAGTTGAAAAACCCTAATTCAAAACTAATGGTGAACATGAGTTGCATGATCCTGAGTGAACAAATGGTGTATGAATCTATTGTTGGTCACCATCTACCATGTGATTGTATCTTCTAACATTGCTCCATTGTCTTGTGGATCAAACCTTGAGGTCGAAGGCTCCGTGTGTGGTCCCCCAAAAAAAACCACCGGCTTTCGTTTAAGCACCCAAACAGTATCCCAGCTCTCACACAAATCAAATGATTTATGTGGCGCACAGTTATTTGGTACTTCCTTGTACCTACGTTTATTTAAATAATAATAGTCTCCGAATCAAATAAAATAAAGTAGATACAATCAGTCTTTAGCTTCTTTGACATGATATTAGTTCGACGAAAATACTATAGATTTTGTTAATTACATCTCGTCATCTAAACGTTTAAAAAAAAGGGAATTTCGAACTCATACACATCTATGTCAGGTTCTCAATATCAGTTAGAATTAACTGATTTGAATATTATGAAGGAAAGAACATAATTCTTTGATCTCATGAAGAATATTCATTAGAGAAGGTGGCCTGCTTGAATATCTGGGTTACATGTTCCTATCATCTAGAAATTTCAACAAGTAATCTATATCCTTGTTTGGTTTTTCTTATAACTTGTGACCTATGTGCTCTCTTAATGTAATGATACCGCCAACGAGAGAACAATGAATTATTGATCGGACCAATGACGCATAAAACCCATATGAGCAGTCTAGAGTACTTATTGGTCCTGCTTCGTGTCTAGCCCAGTCAGTTAAGTCCAGAACACCAATCTCACCCTCTGTGATATAAATCATTTATTTAAAGCATACTGGGTTTATATACCAACCAAACAGACCACATAGTACCATAAAATGGAAAATAACATTTGTACAGGTTTTAGCCAAAAGTGACTGTGTGAGTGGTAGTAATTGATAGACTGGACATAACTCACAAATCGTAAATCGTATAATAATAGTTCATAGGTCAAAATAAAACTCACAATAAGATGGACATGAATATGAATAGTTTAGTTATTTAACAATGATGTAGACTACTTGGTTGGAGACCGCAAGATGATAGCATCCGATGGTTAGAGACTTTGAATGACATGGCTGAAAATCGTTTGCAATGCTGCAGGTGCATCCACTCTTTGTGTTATCCCAAATTCTAATCTGAATTCTTCATGTCCTTTATTTTCTTTCCAAATCTATTCCACTGGACTATACTCCTTAAATAACATCATCAAACCCTAATTTTCTCTATCACTACCTCTTCCACTATGGGATTTGAATCGATAACTGAATCTCTGTGCTAATGTGGTATGGCAACTCGAACTGATATACGTACGTACGTACGAAGTTCAACGTTGTTACTAACTGACTGACTGATTTAACAATGATACTATAAAAATATACGCATAGTATTGGTCCATAATTGGATCCTAAAAGTTACCATTCATTATGCTTATCGGGCATAACAGTTTTAACACATTATTATGGCTATTATTCGCATAACGTATTCAGGAGCATTTATAAAAAGTATACAACCTTTCGTTGTATAAGTTACAAAAGACCCAATCAGTGACATCATGGTTGCTGGCAATATGCAGCAAAAAAGAATGTACATTATATTGATGTCGACTGACTGAACTGATAACTTCTAACTACCAACCACTCAGTCAGTCAGTAACAACATAAAACTTCATACGTACATACGTGCATCAGTTTAAATTGCCATACTACATTAGCACAAAGATGCAGTTATCGATTCAAATCCCGTAATGATAGAGATAGTGATAGTATAAGTAGTATTAGGGAACATTAGGGTTTGATAATGTTAGAAATTCTGTAATGAATGTTGTATGTTATTATGTCTGATTTCTCAACTACATAACATGGTTATTACATAATAACATTCAATTTTTTTTGTTTTTTTTTCAAAAACAACATTCCCTGATTAGGGGTAATTAATGGTTTCCTTTTATTGGAAATCAATTCAATCAATTGAATCCCAGTCCGATATGATTATATTCATTGATCGGAAATGTTTGTTTGTTTGTTTGTTTTTCAAAAGTTACTTCAAATACTAAATAATGATTTTAAGTAATTAAAGATAATTAATAAAATGCTTTGAATTTGTTCTTCATCTTAATTGAAACCCATGAAATTAAAGTATCATCTCTATAGTCTTGAAGAAACGGATAATTCTCATTGAATTTCTATTTGATCATACCAAAGAATTAGATAAATATGAAAACATTCATGGATAAACAAGAGAATTTTTATCGTTTACATAAGGAAATACTTTCATGGGGTCATGAATGTACAGTTCCGAGAAGTTTTATATATTAGAATGAAATGGGTGTCTAGTAATTTCTGATTCTTGATGTTTGTCTAAGTAAAGCCGACTCCTGATATAAACTATGGAGATATCCCATGTGAATTGAACCTTCAATTCTCATGTTATGTATTCTCTGTATTTCTGCCGTTTGCTGATTATCGCAAATAACCACCAGTTAAACAGAAAAGGAGATATTATAATGATGAAATAAAAGATGAATTAATTGTCATATAAACTGTTACATTTATATCTATCATAAATAAACTGATTTCTCATGATTTATTTTTTATTTTTATTTTAAAACATAAGTATAGGTACAGGGAGGCACCAAGTACATATGCGCCACACAGATCTCATTTGATATGTGTGAGGGCTGTGATACTGCACGGGTGCACAAACCGAAGTAGGTGGTTTTCTTAGGGAGACACACCACGAGCCTTCGACCTGAACGTCTGATCCACAAGACAGTGGAGCATCGTAAGGAGATGCAGTCCCATGGTAGCCGGTGACCAACGATAGGTTCATACGCCATTTGTTCCCGCAGGATACTGGAGCCAGTCCATGTGCACCATTGCTTTGGGATCCGGTTAAAGCCGGTGCCGGAAATTCGCTTTCCGTCCTCTCATTTTCGTAAACAACACCCCCGCCACGACAAGGCAGTGAGTAGGATTTCCCTGACAGAGGCTATCTACGCGTGGCCATGTGAGAGCATTTCGAGAGGGAGAGCTGATTCTCCCCACTCTCGGCCGTACCAGGGCATTTGGGGGCGATTTCTCATGAACAAATAGTTCATATCGTACTGATTTTTGATGAAATTTTCAGTACTTGGATCTCAGAGTTAATGCCTACTCCGGGACTTAGATTCAGTACCTTTCGTTTTAGACTCCATCACATTATCCACTTGGCTACTGAGTCTAGATAACCACTGGATTGTACAACTAGATGAATTTTACTTCATTTGTATTGATATTGAGTTGGAGTTCTGAAGTGGACATTAATCCTGAGATGCAAATACATCTAAATAACGAATCACAAATAGAACAAAACACGTGTTCTGTATTACACTGATAGCTACCATTCAACTCTGGTAAGAATCTATAAACTCATAAGTGTTAATAGGCGGATATGATCATATATACTTTGTAGAAGTTGCTATATATTTAATCCAAAGATTTTCCAAATGACTTCTAATCAAAAAACAATTTCCATAATCTAACTAATAAATATATCCTATTAAAATGACAATCTATGTATAAACTCGTTTATATTTGTTGCTTGAATCTCCCCAAGGATGTTTAGGACTATAATTGATCACTCTGTTTTTATCATATGTAAGTCCTGTGCAGATTACCTTGGTATTGCCAATAACTCACAAGCATTTTTAACTAGAGATGAATGGTAGCTAGCAGTGCACAACAGAACACCTGTTTCATTCTATTTGGAACTCATCAGTTGGATGTACTTAAATACCAGGATTAATGTCCACTTCAGAACTCCAACTCAATATCAATACAAATGAAGTAAAATTCATCTAGTTGTGCAATCCAGTGGTTATCTAGACTCAGTAGCCAAGTGGATGATGTGATGGAGTCTAAAGCGAAGGGCCGTGGGTTTGAGTCCCGGAGTAGGCATCAACTCTACGATCCAAGCATATTCAGCCCACGAGTCCTAGATAAGACTGAATGTGCATCCTGAATTTCACTGCTAACCACCATCTATCTCTGTTTAAATATTTCAAAACTGTTTGACTAGATAATCTCACATTACGCAACCATAGCTGAATATAAATGGACGGATAGACAGAAGGCTTGGGTGTAAGGAAAAGGATTTTTAGTCAACAACAATTCATTATGCTGATCCCTTTTTTGTAATTTACTTATTATTTATTTTAACACATAGATATCGGTACAAGAAGGCAACAAATACATATGCGCCACACAGATCTCATTTGATATGTGTGAGGGCTGTGATACTGCTCGGGTGCACAAAACGAAGCAGGTGGTTTTCTTAGGGGGTCACACCCCGAGCCTTCGACCTGAAGATCTGATCCACAAGGCAGTGGAGCATCGTGAGGAGATGCAGTCCCATGGTAGCCGGTGACCAACGATTGGTTCATACGCCATTTGTTCCTTCAGGATACAGGAGCTAGCCCATGTGCACCATTGATTGTGGATCCGGTTATAGCGCCGGACATTCGCTTTTCGTCCTCTCATTTTCGTAAACAACACCCCCGCCACGAGAAGGCAGTGAGTAGGACTTCCCTGACAGGGGCTGTAGACGCGTGGCCATGTGAGAGCATTTCGAGAGGAGGAGCGGACCCCCCCACTCTCGGCCATACCAGGGCATTTGGGGGCCCTTTTTTGTAAAATAGTCAATACTATAATTTCAAATATAAAATCATGAATATAATAACGATTGATAACTCATTCACATATTCGTGTACTTGACATTAAGTTACACTCTAAATGTTAGATATAATGATCTTAAAAATCCTTTTTCTTCTATTACTTCTACTACCCATTTGCCTAAAACGAAATAAGTAGCACAGAGTTCGAGCCTATGCTATAGTGCCTGAAAGTTAAACATCTTAACCGATGAGCTACCACTCTGCTGAATATAAAAAGTGAAAATGGAGAGAAAGATATTAACTTCTACTTATTACAATACATGTAAGTGGTTTGCTTAGTCGGTTGACCAGTATGAGTTCAATGTGTGACATAACATAGCATGAACGTAAGTAGTGTCCATCTCAGTCAGTCAGTCAGTCAGTAACAACGTGGAACTTCGTACTTACGTACATCAGTTCGAGTTGCCATACCACATTAGCACAGAGATTCAGTTATCGATTCAAATCCCATAGTGGTAGAGGTACGGAAAGTATAAGTAGTGATAAGGAACATTAGGGTTTGATGATGTTATTTAAGGAGTATAGTCTAGTGGAATAGATTTGGAAAGAAAATAAAGGACATGAAGAATACAGAAGATTAGAGTTGACAATTATCAAGTAGAACTGGAATTTATTCTCCAGATGAATAATGTTGGTTATGTTTACACTTTTTATAATACATTCCCTCAATACTCAAATATGTAGTTTTGTGTATTTTATTATATTACTTACTAATATTCAGTAATCTATGAAGTGATACGTGTTTTTAAGCATATAAAGGATAATTTGCCTTCATTTTTGTGTAATGAATTAAGATGTTTATCATGTGTAACTATATTGTTTTGTAGACGAATCCTTTGTATTAATTGTGAATACAACATACAATTCTAACAGTTTGATTTGAATCTTTGGATGAATTAGGCAAATAGATTAAATGGTTAAAAATCATCAATGTTCAACTGACAAGATTGTAGAATCAAAAACTTCTTTCGACTTGTTTTGATTTGATCAGATGAGAGCCCATGTTCATCATTAGTTTTGAATCAAAGTTTTCCAACTCCCCTACGTGAACTCTCCATGTCACCCAGCCCCGTTAAATCACCGGACATTCTCTTTTCGGCTCTAAATCTCGTAACGAATACCCCTAGCAGAGACTATATACGCGTGGACATGTGAGAGCATTTTGAGAGGGAGAGTTGACTCTCTCGACACTCGGTCGTATCAGGGCATTTGGGGGCACGAAATTCATTCATCTATTTGGATAAATGGAGTTTAGGCATTATACCTGATGTTAGTTCGTAATTCTAATTCCCCACAGAGGTTTATAATCCTAATTTGGTCATGGTTATTAAATGGATATTCTTAACGTCACATTAACGTCACTCAAAGGTCGTCCATAAATTGCAGTCTCACCATGAACCTTAGTTGCTACGAGGATTATTATTACTACATATATTCCTATTAGATAACTTATTAAGTGTACTATATTCATATTCCTTTTATTAGAAGCTTTCATTTGACCTATTGACTACTGTAATTCGATTAACTATTCTCAAGTTATTCACAAATTATTAATTACAGTCTTCTTTCATAATCACAGTCACTTATTGAGCTTGTTCTTGTAATGATTGTTATTTTCTATTTTATGGAAATAATGTGGTCTGTTTTGTTTGGATATAAACTGAATCTAACTGAAATAAAGGATTTGTGCAGTGAAAGTTGATATTGGTATTCTGGTGTGAACTAGTTGAGTAAGGTGAGAATCTACTATCACAAAAGATCAATAAGAACTCAGAGATTACTCGAGGATGTTCATACTGATTAGGCACAGTGCCAAAGTCGTATAAGTCGAGTTCTGATTGGTGATTTACTTACTTGACAATCACAATAGGACAAAACACATAACAGTTAGTTATGACATAAGAAAGAATAAATACAAACCTGTAAATATACACCAGGATCCATAAGTGCTAGATGTAAACAACGTTGAAATGGTGGATTTAATCGACGACGTATAGATAATGCTAATTGTGAATGAATTGATGAATCATTATCATCGGTGAATGATAATGAATGAATATTATTTTCAATGATGATAGATGGACCATAGAAAACTTCATGTAATGGTAATTGATTAAATGATGGAATGAATTCATTTAATTTTAATTGTATCCAATTTAAAAATTCTTTACGTGTTATATCCCATTGAGTTTTTTGAATAGTTGAAGTGATAGCAGATAAAGGACGATTCGGTGAAGAAGTTGCATATTCTTGAAGATGCTACAATAAAGTAAATAAATACATTATGTATTGTTTGTTTGGGCCGCATTCCTTCAATTAAAGAACATATGGAACTCAAAACAACTGTCTATCAACCAATATCAAAGTCACAATCTTCAATACGAACGTCAAGGCAGTTAGTTCTGCTGTACGGAGCTGAAATGTGGAGAACTACTACAACCACCATCAAGAAGTTATAAGTATTAATAAATAGTTGTCTACGCAAGATACTCAACATACATTGTTCGGATACCATCAGCAACAGCCTACTGTGAGAGAGAACGAACCAGCTTACAGTTAGAGGCAATTAGAAAAAGACGATGGAAATGGATAGGACATACATTATACAAATCAACAAAATGCACCACGAGACAAGCCTCAACATGGAATCCTGAAGGGAAGAGGAAAAGAGGAAGGCCAAAGAACACATTACGTCGGGAAATAGAAGCAGATATGAAAAGGATAAATAACAACTAGAAAGGGCTGGAAAGGATTGCCCAGGACAGGGTTCGATGGAGAATGCTGGTGAGCGGCCTATGCTCCTTTACGAGGAGTAACAGACGTAAGTAAGTGAGTAAGTATTGTTTGTTTGAGTCTTCCTATTGGTGTGTGTAGAATTCTAAATTAATCAGTCTCTATTATTGGTATATGTACAGCCTATGCGGATTGCTCTGATATTATCCACGATTCAACTTATGCATTGATAATGCTGAATTATCTAAGCTGAATGGCCTAATTGCAATGCTTTCGTTGCAATCCTAGAAAACAATTTCATTCGTGACTATTTTGTGTAAAATGAGCTTGTTACTGACTCCATAAGCATTAAGCCATTAGAAAATCAACTTCAGAAACCAGGAAAAACATTTTAGATGGTAATATGAGGATTTTGACCTATTTGGAATCAATGTCGTTTAAAAATCAAAGCAATCACTTTATTCAGTTTTGTGCAGATCGTAAAGTAAAATAGTTTGAAGACGAATTATATATACTGCAAAGAACAACTACATAATGAACAGACTAGACGACCCCTTCATTTAGTCAAACACAGACATCGACTAACAGAAAAACTACACAAAATATTATCACTGATATCAATGCATTTCTAAAATCTTCACATAAACCCCTTCTGATAATAATCATCTGCTCACTAGTGACTGACTTCAAGAGGCATTTCCTGAAGTTCTAGTGAGAAGCAGTGATCAGTGGAGTTTAACCAGGTCTGTTGTGAGATATCAGCTCAATGAAGACAATGGTGTACGGTGGTGTGATTTAGTGGATTGGTTGAAGTTAGACATTAACATCGTTGGATGCCGGCCAGCCCAGTGGTCTAGAGGTTAAGTACTCGCGTGCGAGACTGATAGGTCCTGGGTTCGAACCTCTCAGGGGGCGGGACCGTGGATGCGCACTGCTGAGGGGTCCCATACTACAACGAAACGTCCGTCCAGTGCTTCCAGGTTCTCTATGGTGGTCTAGCGTTAATTGACTCATAATTTCAAGTAGTCATACAGTTTCTCGAAGTATGTGGTTTAGATTATTAAGCAGTCAGTAGATCTATGAACATAGATCCGATCTATCAACCACATGGTCAGAGGTCAACCATACAAGATATTTAACAGGAACACAAGAATAAATGAAGATTTTAAAAATATATGAAAACAGAGAATTCCAAATAAGACCACAAGAATGTACTGATTTAACACTTGTGAAATAAGTAGGAAGTTTACATGATGTAGGTATAATTGACATTGGTTAGAAAGTTCCACAAGTGAACCACCTAGTTCAAAGAATTCTATATCATTAAAAAACAATTATGATTCATTGTAAAATGTTATATCATCAACAACTGATAACATTTCTGTCTCCTTTTACACAATTATATGGTCAGCAGCAATAAATGCGCAGTTAAGAATCTATACGAAACACATCCACACTGGAATAACACCACATGCGAAAAAGAAAAAACATGATTGAACTATTAAAGTGAACTTTAGGAAGAGATGGATAGTGACTAACAGTAGAATCCAGGATGCATGTTTCATCCTATTTGAGACTTGTTAGCTGGAAGTAAATGTTTCAAGATTAGTTTAATCAACTGATATAATTTAGTGGTACGTAGTTATTGATGATACAAAGTAAATAAAATGAAACGACCACTAACCTGACGTAAATTACGTAAACTAATTTTTCTTTTTGTATTAAATTCAACAGGTTTAACTGGTACAGTATCCGGATTGTTGACAGAAGTTGCAGCTGTTATTGTCAACTTGTCATTATTTGTCGACTGTTCTTGATCGCACTGTGACAGTTGTTTATTCATCGATGCTTCTTGATTCAGTAAGTGGAAACAAACGAAAAAGATGTTGACGTAACTGGAAAAGCTTCAAAATACAATAAATCTATAGTCATAGAGGTTCCACCTACGGGAGTTGAAAAACCCTGAATAAAAACCAATGGTGAACATAGATTTTAGGATCCTGAATGAACAAACGACGTATGAACCAATCGTTGATCACCAACTACCATGGGACTGCATCTGCTCGCCACGCCACGAGCCTTTGACCTATAAGGTCTAATCCACAAGGCAGTGTATCAACGTTAGAAGATGCATTCCCATGGTGACCGGTGACCAACAACAGGTTCATACGCCATTTGTTCCTTCAGGATCCTGGAGGCCATATTCATCATTGGTTTTGAATCAGAGTTTTCCAACTTCTCTAGGTAGGCCCTCGGTTTCCACCAACCCGGTTAAAGCGCCACACATACCAAATTATAATGATAAAATGAAATTGGAAAAATAAATATTAAAAGGTATAGAAATAATCTGACAGCGATCATAGTGAATAACGCTAAACATTGAAAGGTATGCATAAAAGAACATAGATCAAAATCTAAAAGCTGTTCAAAGAGTGAATACATCTACACCATTGTGAATGATTGTGAACCATAAAACCTAACGTTCCCAATCACTGATTGTGGTTATCCTGTAGACTTCAAATAAGTAGTGTGACTTTACCAACATGGTTCAGATTAACAGTCAATGACTCTATATTTTGACCTCACATTATCGGTTTGGACCCATCTATACTTTCTCTTAATCTACTTCTACAAATTTCAAGTGAAAACAATAAACATTTTGCTATTTTTGAAATAATATGATTTCTCCAACATTCGACTTAAATCAACCAAAATAAAACAGAGATTTTTAAAAGAATTATCATTGAGAATTTTTAGACTGCACACGTACTGTTGAACAAAGCGCTACAAAACTGGCATCAGAAATGACTGATCTTCAACAATATATCACAATGTTTTATAAATATCTACATATTTTTACTTATATTATCGTTGGTCGGAGAGAGGGAATAAACCATTTCCTTTCTTTAATTTATTATTTATTTATTTTAACACATAGATATTGGTACAAGGAGGCAACAAATACATATGCACCATACAGACCTCATATGATTTGTGTGAGGGCTGTGATACTGCCCGGGTGCCCAAACAGAAGCAGGTAGTTTTCTTAGAGGGCCACACCCTGAGCCTTCGACCTGAACGTCTGAACCACAAGGCAGTGGAGCATCGTAAGGAGATGCAGTCTTATCGTAGCCGGTGACCAACGATTGGTTCATACACCATTTGTTCCCGCAGGATACTGGAGCCAGCCCATGTGCACCATTGCTTTGGGATCCGGTTAAAGCCGGTGCCGGAAATTCGCTTTCCGTCCTCTCAATTTCGTAAACAACACCCCCACCACGAGAAGGCAGTGAGTAGGACTTCCCTGATAGAGGCTGTATACGCGTGGCCATGTGAGAGCATTTCGAGAGGGTTAGCGGACTCTCTCCACTCTCGGCCATACCAGGGCATTCGGGGGTTCCTTTCTTTAATGTATTCGATAAATGACATACGGTATAGTACAAGTTTAATTCAACAGTATTTTGTATTGTATTCATCCACTGAGTTAGTTCTTACGTTAGTACTTAGATGTGCATGGACAGGGACACGTTTTTACAAGCATAACATATTAAATAGACAAGAACTAATATTCGCATTTATACTTCAGCCAATAATTAAGTCTGATAATCAAATCTTGATTTCATTGGGAACTACGAAATCTGTATCTTCGAAATACTCATATTTTACATGACCACTAATTACGCTCATTTTTCTGTACATGTTCTCTATATAACTATGATTATTTTATCAAAAAAGGCACCAATTCTTTAGACTTATAGTCTTATCTTTGGTGAAAATTCAATCAAAAGATTCGAGACAATAGTCCGATTCTGTGTAGGATTATCTCTCAGTAACAACATATCATTGCATTACATTTATTAATAATTATTCTTATCAGAAGGGGGTTTTGTGGAGAGTTTAGTAATTTCAATTGTTGAGTTCTAGTGAGAAGCAGTGATCAATGGAGTTCAACCGGGTCAGTTATGAGATAGTAACTCACTGATAACAAAGGTGAATGTGTCGCTCAATTTTGTGGATTGGTTGAAGTTAGACATTAACACCGATGAATACTGGCCGGCTCAGTGGTCTAGTGGTTAAGTGCTCGCGCACGAGACCAGTAGGTCCTGGGTTCGAATCCCGCGAGGCGGGGTCGTGGATGCGCACTGCTGAGGAGTCCTACAATAGGACGAAACGGCCGTCCAGTGCTTCCAGGTTTTTCATGGTGGTCTAGCTTCAATTGATTCATGATGTCAACAACTGAAATAATTATTCTATCATTATAAATCTCAAAAATCGTCAAACATTATAACACACATATATACACACTTACCTTGACAAGCCATCGATAGTTTTGTATGCCAAGACAGGGTTGAGTCAGCTAAATTATTCAAACATTTTCTACCTTCTGATACGGTAGACGGTGACCAACAAAGTGAAGTGGGATTTTGCGACTGAATTAAAGAAGTAGATTCTTTCAGTAGATAATCATAAGCATCTTGTACAGAGTTCAATAAATGTTCTTTGGGCACTCCACTAAACGATTGAAGAGGTAGTGATGAAGGAAGGAAATAAATCAAAAACTATTGACTACAAGAAAAGAAGTCTAAAACGAAATGTAAAAAAAACTTTAATAGTTCTTCATGAATGAGTTTGTCAACTGTCTGCACACGGACATTAACAGATGACAGTGATAATTGTCAAATGATGAACGACACATCAGAATTCTTTCACGTGTACGACTGGAATAACTGGATTTGTTTGTTGCCTTCAGTAATCTCGAGTACTGTTAGTTGTACAAAGGCGATTGTCACTTCCCAGTTGTCCATATTATGAAATGATATCGCTTCTTGAGGCATCAGAAAACGAACCTGGTTATGACAGATAACCGAAGGTAAACTAAAACATTAATTTTTTACATTTCAACACAATTCAGTAAACATATACAGGTTTGCGTATGTGATAAGCAGCTAATATTACTACCATCAAAACAGGTAAAGCATAGCACCAACTAACCGATAACTCACTAGTTAAAAGTCAAACATCTTAATCGAATTAGATCGTCATCATCATCATCACTTGGTCGATATTAACATCAGTACAATTAGAACTGTAAACAAAAGGCATTTAGGAAAGATATGTCGAAGACATTTCTCTACATCATATAAAGATGATATCGTTACAACTTACCCTAAAAGATTTATTGTCAAGTTGAATTCTTCTGCATTGACTAAACCATTTTTCAACCATAAACGATACAAATCTCCAATCTGTACAAAAAAAACAATGAGATGGTGGAGAAGATTCGTAGCTCAGGTGGATGATAACAGCTGTGAACTACTGTACAGTATACCCATCCTTTAGTAGATTAAAGGATAATCCATCTGGATTGTAAGGTGATTGAAAGTAGGCGATAAGATATCCTAGACATAAGCTTTAAACAATTTAGCACTCGTCCATAAAATATACCTACTCTATGTGGTATTTGAAATCGCGCTATTCAATTTTATGGTTTAAAACGTTAGCATTCAGCTAGTAAGATGTTAACTGACAACTGAATCAGATTGTAAAATTAAAATTTTTTCTACTAGGGAGTAGCAGTTGATGAAACTCCATTATTCAAATCACAATGCGTCCACTAGTTTTAGTAACTTATTGCATAGAGTGTGTTTCAATGTTTAATAACTGGTAGTGTGTGAGCTACTTATATCCATATAAGCAGTATATAACGGTATTTATTTATTATTTTAACACATAGATATTGGTACAAGAAGGCATCAAATAGAGATATGTGTGAGGGCTGTGATACTGCCCGGGTGCCCAAACCGAAGCAGGTGGTTTTCTTAGGGGGTCACACCCCGGGCCTCTGACCTGAACGTCTGACCCACAAGACAGTGGAGCATCGTAAGGAGATGCGGTCTCATGGTACTCGGTGACTAACGATTGGTTCATACACCATTTGTTCCCGCAGGATACTGGAGCCAGCCCATGTGCACCATTGGTTTGGGATCCGGTTAAAGCCGGTGCCGGACATTCGCTTTCCGTCCTCTCATTTTCGTAAACAACACCCCCACCACGAGAAGGCAGTGAGTAGGACTTCCCTGGCAGAGGCTATATACGCGTGACCATGTGAGAGCATTTCAAGAGGGAGAGCTGATTCTCCCCACTCTCGGCTGTACCAGGGCATTCGAGTGCAAGAGGCAATCGAGCCTGCCAAGATGGTGGTCACGAATAGAATGTATTTCAATAGAAGATCGAGAAGGAAAGAACAGGAACAGACTGATATTTGCAAAAGAAACAGTCAAGTTTGAGACTATTGGTTAATATTCTGCAAATTAAGTACTTACTGAATGGTTCTCAAATTTTACTGAGATGTTCTGTAATTTTGTGTTCAAATACATTTGATTGTCTACACTCATGTTCTTGTCCACTACAGTATAGTGATTATCATAGGATTATGGACATAAACTTTGTTATATAAGAAGACTGATAAGGACTCAGAGTAGACTCAAGGTTGCTAATGATGTTTGATGCATCACTGGTGTCAGACAGGAACAGGGTCACAGAAGTCGGTACTCTAAGTAGCGAGTTGTCACGTGACATTTAACGGATCATATGACAAATTGGCAACAGAGTGAAAACGTCTACGAACCCAACCATCACAAGAAAATTAAGGTCATGTGGTAAGTGGTCGAGAATCAGTGTAATTATTTGACTATTCAACGTACGAAATTGTCTTCGGTATCTTTGTACGATATTATTTACTAATTAGTCCTTCAGTTTTTTTTTAATTACTTACCTGAATCATGCAGAAAGAAAAAACTACTATTATGGAGCAAATTCAATCATTTCTTTAGAAACAATAGAGGAGATTTTTAGTTTCGCAACAACAGATGTCAAAATTTCAACGCAGTCCAAATGAATCCCAGAACGTAAAGAAATAGAATCGTCACTTAATTCAGTCCTAGAATTTGTTTTTGATGCAGAAAGCGGTCACACATTTGAATCATAGTTTGCTAGAATCGAAGATCTTTTCCGAATAGAATATAAGGATATAGAGGAAGCAAAGAAGGTAAGATCGCTAACATAGAAAATTGGCTTACAAGAATACTTTAAATATAAAAATTCTATCGTGCCAAAACACCCAAAGGAGTTGAGTTTTGATGAAACTGTTGGTATTTTGAACAAGATATTTTGTGTACAAGCATCGTTATTCCATATTCGTTATAAATGCCTCCAGTTAAAAAAGGACGCTGATGAAGATTATTTGACGTACGGAAGCAGGAACAATTTAAGAGTTGAACGTTTTAAATAAAATGCATTATCAAGTGACCAATTTAAATACTTATTATTCGTTTCTGGATTACAATCCTTCACAGAATAACATCTTCAAACCCTACCTCTACCACTAGGGGATTTGAATCAACAACTGCATTTCTGTGCTAATATGGTGTAACGACTCGAACTGATGTACGTACGTACGTACGAAGTTCTACGTTGTTACTGACTGACTGACTGAGATGCTGATGTTAGAACTCGATTATTATCCCGTATTGAACAAGATAATAAAATGACATTAAAAATGATCACTGTATAATGCAAAACAAAGACCATATAAATGATTGAAGCTTACATTTTTACCCAAAGGTCGAGCCGATAATGGTGTTATAATAATCAACAACCAATTCAATACATATGGAATTAAATATTGTAATTTGAAATGGTTTTCCAAATGTTCTACAATCTTATTGACAAGTCTATGCGATGTTTGTTGTGCAGTTTGTGGAGATGAATTATTAACAATAGAAAGTGTAGAATGATTAATAGTAGAAGTTGAAGTTGTTGTATTATCCAGAACACAATTTGCTAATGAAGGATAATCCAATGTGACAATTTTAGCTAAATCTCTAGAATTTATTGATTTCAGATATTTGTACGCTAATTCCGGTGATTGTAACAATTCAGGATGTGGTGTTTTCAAATAATGTTCTAACATGCAAAACTATAAACAAAAAGAAACAAGGAGTAGGATACTTGTTACTAAGATTAAAGCATGAGGTACAATACAATGCAATCAAGTAAACAGGAATTAAAAATAAGCTATAAATGATGGCAACGGAATATACAATATATTAAGTATTAGAATGTTATATAATAAGGGAACGGGGTTTCGTTTATCAACAAATCTCACATGAATTATTGTTGATCTTAATTAGCTGACAAACGTTAACAGGAAATCCTGCGGTTAGGCTGTCCCCTAGTTGACAATCGTCAGTAAGACGAATCTGAAATTTTGAAGGAAATAATTCCCTTGGGCGAATTCAAACTAGTGTCACAGTCAGTAACAACGTGGAACTTCGTACTTACGTACATTAGTTCTAGTTGCCATACCACATTAGCACAGAGATTCAGTTATCGATTCAAATCCCATAGTGGAAGAGGTAGTGATAGAGAAAATTAGGGTTTGATGATGTTATTTAAGGAGTATAGTCCAGTGGAATAGATTTGGAAAGAAAATAAATGACATGAAGAATTCAGATTAGAATTTGGGATAACACAAAGAGTGGATGCACCTGCACCATTGCAAACGATTTTCAGCCATGTCATTCAAAGTCTCTAACCATCGGTTGCTATCATCTTGCGGTCCCCAACCAAGTAGTCTACATTTACCAACATGGCTCAGTCCACTTGTCACGCGCCTAAATGTTCATAACAGCACAGGAATTTCCCTTAATCAATACTAAACTGTATCCGAGAGATATGGATTAACTAGTTTGAACTCGCAAAATTATCGGAATGAACGACTTCAGATAATAAAAAAAAAGGTTCGAAATCAGCATTTATTCGTTAACCTCCACTTTAGATCTTGAATTTTCGATCTGTTTGATCCTTTTTAAGTTAAATTTCCCATGTTAAGTTTTTCACTACTGTTTATCTTATTGTTACAATTATTATTTTGACTTCTTCACTGTCCAATACATACAATACATACGTGGATTGGAACGAAGCAGAGCTCGGCAGAAATGTTAATCGAGATAGAGCAAATGAAAAAGCCTATGTCACTAAAATTAATTTCAAAGTTGTATCGACTGATATCTACAAGCACAAATCACAGTTAAATCACTGACCATAATCAGATAATGTGCATATCTTCCAACATATAATTTATATTTAATAGTTGAAATGATGAGCCAATTGAAGCTAGACCATCATGGAAAACCTGGAAGCACTGGACGACTGTTTTGTCGGTCTGTTGTGAGATAGTAACTCGCTGAAGACAATAGTGGATGTGTTGCTCAATTTCGTGGATTAGTTGAAGTTAGACATTAACACTGTTAGATGTCATCCGGCTCAGCGGTCTAGAGGTGAAGCGTCCACACGAGAGACTGATAAGTCCTGGGTTTGTATCTCGCGAGGCAGGATCTTGAATGCTCATTGTTGAGGAGTCACATAGAAGGACGAAATGGTCGTCCATTGCTCCCACGTTTTTCATGGTGGTCTAGCTTTAATTGGCTCGTAATCTCAACTATTGAAATCACTATAATATCCACAAAAACCCCTTTTTGATCTAATTTATTCATAGAGATATACTATAATGATGGTCTTGAACGACTTTTTATAAGTTTTAACACGAAATTGAAACTGTAGTGAAAAATAGGCCAAACAGTAAATATAACATGATATTAAAGTATAAAACTACCTGTACTTGATACAGATTATATTTTATAGTATATGATCTGATTCAATGAATTGTTAAAGATGTTCGCGTAGATAAATGATATTCTCCTATTCTAACTCTTAACTTGCAATCTCAATCCCAAGTTTCTTAAATTAATAATCAAACGAGTGGCAAAGCTTCATCGAATTGTAGCTGGTATCAGTTGGTGGAAAAAAAAGACCTCTATAGGGTTATAACACAAGCTCATGACAATAGCCCAACTTTTCCTTTTACTATAATGAATAATTCAACAATGTACAGGTTAATTATTCACATCGAAACTATTATTCTACCATAATGTTATCACCTTTTATTGTCAACTGTTGGATAACTAAACACTATTTGCTGACTGGTTAATAAGTTGACCAAGATCATTGATGTAGTATACTATTGTTGATTTATCAAATGATAATCAATACTAACTAGTGTTAGGGATAGTTGGAAGAAAGTTAGGGGTAGTCAAACCAAAACGTGGCATCAGCTCACAAAGTCACTAACTTCTAGTCTGAGCCATGTTGGTAGATGCAGACTACTTGGTTGGCATCCGCGTGACTATCATAACAAATGGTTGGAGATTCTTGGTGACACGGCTCAGAATTGATCACAATGGTGTAGATGTATACACTCTCTATGTTCACTTAAACTGCTGGATCTAAGTTACTTCATATCTTTCTTCCTTCCTGTACTATATCCTTATACGCAATCTTTCTTTTATACATTACTACCATTGAAGTGACTACTCTTGTGAATTCGGTGTTGATCTTGTTGTGCTAATCAAGTATGGCAACTTTGACCGATGTACATATGTGCCTGGTCCTAAGTTGTAGCTGACTGACTGACAATGAAATACCAATTAATTCGAGCAAATACATTTCTAATTTATATGATTTATAGTTTAAGATAAATGTAACATTCCCAAGCTCTTTATCTATCCAAGCACACAAGCGTACAACCATATAGATACATTGATATAACGCATTATAATCAAATACAAGTTTAGATACCGGTTTTTTGAGGGACACTATTTTTGTGATAGTGAATGTTATTACTTAACAATACAAACTAGAATAAGTAAATTAAGATAGAAACCCATGATCATCTACAGCTCTATATATATCAAACTAATAAAGAATGTTTAATTCAAATCCTCATCCGAACCCATACCCACACACACACACACATACTCATAGAATTAACTAATCAATAACAAAAGAAAACACTTTTAGGGGGGGACGGAAGAAAACCAAGAATGAAACCAACTTTTAAACGTTGTATGAAATTTTTCACTGAATAATCTAAACAAAGAAATAATCCATCCATTAAATAATTTAATACAGAATAAGTTGGATGTAATCCAGGGAATTGTATAACCTGAGAAAATGAAAGTATAAGAAAAACACATACCATTAGAATAGATAAAGGGAAAAATTAGGAATTATAACGATTATTATAATTATTTTTTTTGGTTAGCGTTTTTTTTAGCGAGTTAGTTTTCTACGGGATAGGGACGCTAACCCCATGCCCAACCCTCCTCCTTTACCCGGGCTTGGGACCGGCAGTAACTCTAGGAGAGCTACAGGCGCAAATCATCAAACTGCACCACGAGACAAGCCTCAACATGGAATTCTGAAGGGAAGAGGAAAAGAGGAAGGCCAAAGAACACATTACGTCGCGAAATAGAAGCAGATATGGAAAGGATGAATAACAACTGGAAAGAGCTGGAAAGGATTGCCCAGGACAGGGTTGGATGGAGAATTCTGGTGAGCGGCCTATGCTCCTTTGCGAGGAGTAACAGGCTTTAGGTAGGTAGGATTATAATTATTACTACATGAGATTATTGAATTAACCATGAAAAAGCATTGAACAATGTCAATAATTAGATAAGGGTTTATGTACTCAACTTTCAGCTATCAGTTGCTTGTGTGTGGGGGGGTGCTTGTGGGTTAGTCATGTTAGCCGAAGTCTGCAATGAACGACAACTTAGTTGGGGATAACCAATTTATTGTTTAGTACAAAATTACACGGTTCTTTCATCAAATGTGAAAACAATACATTAAATACATAATTTGTAATTCCATCATTAATTGTTTTAAACTTCATCATTTCTTTACTGTTATTACAATTACTCTCCGTTTACATTTCTGAGCTCTTTGATTCGATCTTCTCCACCTTCTGATGCTAGGCATTCAACTTCTAATTGGTTTTACACACTACTTATGTCTGTTAACATAAGTAGCATATACCACGAGTCAGTCAGCTATAATCAACTTACTTAGGCTTGTTACTCCCAATGGAGCATAGGCCGCCGACCAGCATTATCCAACCCACTCTGTCCTGGGCCTTCTTTTCTAGTTCCATCCAATTCTTGTTCATTTTTCTCATGTTTATCTCCATTTCCCGACGTAATGTGCCCTCGGTATTCCTCTTCTCCTTTGGCCTTAAGGATTCCAGATGAGGGCTTGCTTTGTGACGCAGTTGGATGCTTTCCTTAAGGTGTGTCCTATCCACTTCCAACCCATCTTCTTGATTCCCTCCTCCGCTGAAATCTGGTTTGTTCTCTCCCACAATAGGTTGTTGCTGCTAGTGTAGTGTCTCGCCAAAGGATTTGAAGTATTTTGCGTAGAAAACTGTTAATAAACACCTGTATCTTCTGGATGGTTGCTTTCGTAGTTTTCCAGGTTTCGGCCCCTTACAGTAGAATTGTTTTGACATTTGTGTTGAAAATTCTGACCTTGGTGTTGGTTGACAGAGAGTTGTTTTGAGTTCCAGATTTTCTTCAGTTGCAGATATGCTACTATTGTTTTCCCGATCCGTGCCTTCACATCTGCATCAGATCCACCGTATTCATGAATAATGCTGCCCAAATATGTAAATGTTTTTACATCATCCAAATCTTCTCCGTCAATTGTGATTGGATTGGTACAACTTACAGCCTGTCATAAATATGCATTAGCCCAAGTTGTCATACCATACTAGCTTGGTGTTCTGGACTTAACTGACTGGGCTAGGCAAGAAGCGAGACTAATCAGAACTCTAGGCTGTTCGTAAGGATTTACGCGTCATTGATCCGATCGATAAGTCACTGCTCTCTAATCGGCGGTCACAAGTTAGAACAGCCACTATGACAGATTCTGAATCATTTCACATGTTTTCAATTATTCATTGCTGTGGTAAAAGGTTAAATTTGTGACCAAAGCTCGAATCCATTAACTAAAATACTATCGCTCCCACTTTTTAATAAAATAGATTTTCAATAGATTTTATTGAATCTTCTCAGTAGAGTAAAAAGTTATTTTTATTACGAATTTATATCAGCTAAAAAATAATATTAAACACAAAGAGAGAGAGAGAACTGGATTGTTCCTCTTGTTTCAGTCTATAATTCTTCATAGTAGTGTGCATATTTATTTAACTTCGTCATAGACGTATCTATAAGGACAACATATTCACTGTCTAACTATTCAGGGATCGATCTTTTACCAGGAGATCCACTTGTTGACTCATAATATGCAGATGATATAGTTCTGTTTGGTGAAGACAATGACAAGAAGCAGTCTTCTAACTACCTTAAGCAACAATGCAAACATATTTGGAAGGGAATTCCCTTCCTCCAAATGTCAAATGTTGCTTCAAAATTGACCTGCGTAAGCGCATGAATTAATGGTAGGGAGTGAAGTTGAACGCATCGACTCCTTCAATTATCTTTGGAGTTACACCAGTACCGATGATCTGGCGTCTAACGAAGTCTCGACACGGATTCAGAATACTCGAATGGCTTTTGCCAACTGGTATCACTTATAGCTTAAACAGGATACCCGTCTTCCAAACAAGGGATGAATTTACTACCCAGTAGTTTGCTCCGTCCTGCGTTATGGGTGTAGAACATGCCTACTAGGAATAGCAGATAATCGCAGGTTACTAGTATTCGATCAAAGGTATCTTCAAAACATTCCTCGTATATTTTGGAACCAGAGAATAAGCCATGTCTGGATTAGGAATAGGGTACTAGGTAAGATTGGTAAACCGACTGATGAGATAATAAATTTTCATCAACTGATGTGGTTTCGACGTGTTACGTATGTTAAAGGTGATCAAACGCCTAGAAGTAAAAATAGTAGCTAGACTGGATAGGATTAAATATCACACGATGAACATTTTTATAAATATATCTACATCTATGAACACTTGAATGAATAATATGAAACGTCGGCGAATGAATTATAGTTATCTTGGAAAGAGGTGAAATAAAGATAATAAACTTACTTCCTTTAACACAACATTTAAGAAAGCTGACGGTGAAGGAACAGAAAAACGTCGAATTGTTAATCGGCTTAGTATGGATGCACTAAAACGTGGTTCAAATCCAATCTCAGGAATTGTAGACAAACCGAAAACAAAAGTTATTGGTAATGAACAAGAACGACCTTTAATCTGACCGGCCACATAAAGAGAAGTCAGCTCGATAAAATCACATAAAACCTGAACAGGGATGGATTCAATCTCTGTAAGAATAATGACTAGAGGTCTAAGTAACGACGAATTTTGTTTTAACTCTGAAAGTATTCCTGATCCTGGAGATGCTGATATACTGTCAGCTAGTTCGCTTTTTAAAGTGTTACTAACTTCATTCGAATGTAGACTAAATCTTTGACTTCTTCTAGTTGGTGTGCTCAATCTAGGTGAGGCAGCTGACATAGGATAAGGTTGATGTGATTTTTGAGATCTTGGTTGACTGGTACTACGTTGAGAACGGAGACGAGGTGTAGTTGGTGGTGCTAAAAAAACAAAGAAATTTTAACCATGAAATAAGGATAACTCTTACAAGTCAATATAAGAAAAACTAGTGATCACTGAAACTCACCTGGTGTTTTAAATTCTGGATTACATTCAGGTACGCTGGTGCAACAGTATTTTTTCGTCTATAAAAGAATGTTTTAAAATCTTGAAATTAGTGGAAACTAGAAAATATAACCATTTATGATATAAAGTTTATCGATATAAGTAACTTTAGTCATTTAACTGATTCCACATTCATTCTTAGTCTTCCCTTAAACCCTAAGTCGTAGAATCATATACATTCTTTTTTTATATCTATTCTTTTTTCTTCTACAGATAACATAGCTACTTCAACTACTCTGAGATTTGTGTTAAGTCGGCTTTCCGAGAACTGCAACAGAGCCTCCGGAGGCCCTGTAGGAGCCAAAGTCTTAGCCAATCAGAGCACGATGGAGCTTTCTAGAATGCCAACGTGGCGTGCTACTATTGGTCAGTAGCATAATATGTCTTTTAGCGGATTGGCCAAAATATGATGTTGATTCAACAAATGTTAACATCTATAAATACCCATGTTTTTTCTGTACAAAAATGGAACCTTGAAGTAAAGTACTTTTCGCATACTTTGCGCCTTCTTTCTCGTGTTCAGGTCGCTGTATAGTTCTAGCTTGGGGGTCTTCAAGAATAGCTTAGGAATCGAGTATAGCGTTCAAAATCTCAAGACTTATCAATTTGTCTTGAAGTAGTTCTATTGCGCTATGTTAATATACACAAACTGAATGATTACTACTGGAAAAATTGTTCTTACTTTAATTAGCATTCAAACAAATCACATTGATAGTCATTTGATAACATACACTTTTTTATTTTCTTTATATACTACGTCACTTATCTACTCTCTTCTATTCTCACTTTGTGAATTTTTGTTTTCCAACTTGTACAGCAGCTTGTCTATGGTGGAATTACTGTCCTATCTAAACGATTTCAAGTCACTGACAGGTTGAAAGTTGAATGCTACCACTGAATATGAATACTGAGACAGTCTTCTGGAAACCCAGTATACCATTTAGACTGGCTTCCTTCAACGTTCGCACACTAATGTAGATCGGACAACAGATAGGGCTGCCTATGTCCTTGGAAAGTCTTAATATCGATGTTTGTTGTCAATCCGAGACCCATAATCAAGACTCTAGTGAAGTACTACAAATTCACTCTCCATCTGTCGTTTCGAAAAGCTTCTTTCATGTGCGTTTATCCGGGGACCCTGTGGCATCTTCGTCTAATTTTGTTGGTGTTGATGTTGCACCAAGTGCTAGATGTAAGGTAGCACTGACTGGTTGGATCCCCATTAACAGTTGACTATGTGTCGTTAAATTAGAAAATTTCATCAAAATGAGAAGAAATCGGTGTAAGAAACGATGTCTTGTCGCTATCTCCGCCTATGCTCCGACAGATTGCAGCCTGGAAGCGATCAAGGACGAATTTTGACATCAGATAACTGTTCTTATACACAAAATCCATCCGACAGATGTTGTAGTACTAACCGGAGACGTCAATGATTAGGCTAGGTGTCTAGACACAGACACATACATGTCCCGCTTGTAAGCACTGCGTTTCTACAGGTTCCTTACAAATCATCGAAGCACGTACGCCTACTCTGGCTGTAACGTAATGAGATCGGGCACAGCTTGCGTAAGGACAGAGAAGCCTGGTGGTCGGAGCATGCCAATGAGTTGGAATCAGCAGCTGCATCTGGTAACTGCCAAACGCTCTTCCAACTGGCAGCTACTGGCAACAAGAAGTCTGGTGTGATCGAAACAATCTGTGAAGATGATGTGATGCCGATCATTAACGTCTATCGACATATTGGGTGATAGGGAGCTTTTTCGAGGGGCAGTTCGACTAGTCTGCTGCCCCAGCAACATTAATCAGACTGTCCTTCCGTTCATGACCCGTGACGACTGATCCGCCTAACAAGGCGGGTCCCCAAGATACTCCAACTCCTGAAGCGTGACACGGTACCAGGCCCAGATGACTTACCTCCAGCCCATTTTTACGATGATGGAGAACTTCCGGTTACGGAACTGACTGAATTATTTACAAAGGTCTGGCAATTAGAGTGTTTCCACATAGTGGAATGAGTCAATAGTTGTTCCTATTTTTAAAAAGGGTTCACGTCGTTTCTGTAACAATTACTGAGGGATAAGTCTACTTACGATGGCGTCCAAACTATTGGCCTTCAGCATAATTCACAGAAGGTTCAAAACCAGAGAAAGATTGACTTGCGAGGAGCAAGTTGGTTTTCATTCCGGTCGAAGATGTAATGATCATATTTTATTTATTTATTTATTTTAACACATAGATATTGGCACAAGGAGGAACCAAATACATATGCGCCACACAGATCTCATTTGATACGTGTGAGGGCTGTGATACTGCACGGGTGCACAAACCGAAGCAGGTGGTTTTCTTAGGGGGCACATCCAGAGCCTCCGACGTGAAAGTCTGATCCACAAGGCAGTGGAGTGACGTGAGGAGATGCAGTCCCATGGTAACCGGTGACCAACGATTGGTTCATACACCATTTTTTCCCTCAGGATTCCGGAGCCCATGTGCACCATTGGTCATATCTCCACCCTCTAACAAATGTTACAACACAGTCATACTTATTATAGGCCAATAAACGTAGCGTTTCTTGACAACAGGACGGCCTTCGATTCGTTGAACAGGACTGTTCTCTGAGATTGTCTATCGACGGGCGTGCCCCAGAACTTTAACAACATTTCGAAAGCCCTATATACTAACAACTCAGGCAAAGTGAGGGCATACAACCACGTTTCTCGATTGTTCCACTCAAGCAGTTGGATTAGGTCAGTCAATCAGTAACAACGTAGAACTTCGTACGTACGTACATCAGTTCGATTTGCCATACCACATTAGCACAGAAATTCAGTTATCGGTTCAAATCCCATAGTGGTAGAGTTACTGAAAGTATAAGTAGTGATAGGGAACATTAAGGTTTGATGATGTTATTTAAGGAGTATAGTCCAGTGGAATAGATTTGGAAAAAAAAATAAAAGACATGAAGAATACAGAAGATTACAGTTTGAGAGAAAAAAGAGAGTGGATGCACCTGCGCCACTGCAAACGATTTTAAGCCATGTCATTCAAGGTCTCTAACCAACGGTTGCTATCATCTCGCGGTTCCCAACCAGGTAGTCTACACCTACCAACATGGCTCAGTCCACTTGTCAGTGACTTCATGGATTTGTGCCATGTTTTGGTCTGGCCGCCCCTAGCTTTCTTCCAACCTACTCCTACACCAGAAAACATCGCACGTCGGGGCAGTCGGTGGTTGGGAATACGTAACACATGTCCCAGCCATCTCACCTGATGACGTTTCAATACTTCATCAATTCATTTGCCATTCTTACCTAGTACCCGTTTCATAACAACTGCATTACTTACTCGGTGGTCCCAGGATATACGAGCAATGTTTCGAAGACACCTGTGATCAAATACTAGTAACCTACGAATATCCTCTACTCTTGTCGGCCATGTTTCACTGCCATAAAGTAGGACGGAACGAACTGATGCGCAGTAAACACGTCCTTTGGTTGATAGACGGATATCTCGCCTACGCCACAAATGACGCAAGTTGGCAGAAGCTAGTCGAGTCTTCTGTATCCGTGCTGAGATTTCGTCACACACCAGACCACAAGTGCATATGAGACTCCTAAGATAAGTGAAGCAGTCGATACGCTCAACTACTTCACCCCCTATCATTAGTTCAGGTGTCCCGACCGTAGCTGCTACCTTGACGTGGTGGTCGGGCTTGCCTATCGTGATGACCCAACCGAGCTATATTGGTTGGAACACATGTTCCTGCAGCTTCTACCATGCCAGGCAGGTCGATTGGAGAACGGTAGGACTAAAAGCAGCAAATCAAGGTCTGAGGGCGAAGTCGTACTGTTGACTGTACAGAGGTATGACAGCAGTAGGGTGTTTCCCTCCGACAACCAGCATCTGCAGCGGTGCTGCCTTCTCACAAGGAAGGAAGGGGTTAGAAAAGGTCGACCCTAAAAATGTCACACCTCACCTTACCCCACGAATTTCCGTCTCCGGCGGTAAGGCCCTTTGAAGAACTGAGCTAACACTTTAAAGACCTCCCACAAAAAGGCAGTGTGCGACCGGCCTCAAGCAGTTGTCCCTTGGGCTCTGCGGTCACGCACCCAGGTCGCTAAGACCAACACTAATCCGATTTTCTTTTCAGGTTCCTCAAGAAATACCCTTCCACGGTGTGGGCAACCGGGAAGTGATATCAGCCCTCATACCCGTAAGAGCACACGAGACCAAGTTGGTCACATTCAAATCCTTCCTACACCTCCTAATAACTCTCTTATCTCCACGACTAACCCTTCTCACGTCCCTTTATCACCTCGCTCCGCTAGTGCAAACGATTCGAGTACGCGGAACGTTATTCCTGGTCTCCTGAAACCACGCTCTAAACTACACGTAGGAGCTATCAACGTCCGTACACTGTGCCAAATAGGACAACAGGCTTCCTTAGCTAAGACTTTAGAATCTCGCTCCATCGATGTGTGCTACGTCTCCGAAACGCGCACACAGGATCCTAGTAGTGTCATTCATTTGACCGCACCGCATGCCGAACATGCCTGCATTGTTACTTAGAGTGGTCAGAAGACTCTGCATTTTGTCAGCGTCTTCACTAAATACAACTATGTCATCGGCATATTCTAAGTCAACAAGTGAATTTCCTGGCAGAAGTTCAACTCCTGAAAATTTAGATGAGGAAAGTGTCATCTCTAAAAGGACGTCAACGACAAAGTTAAACGAGAATGGAGAGAGTGGACAGCCCTGACGAACACCACTTGAGGTAATCAATTCTGATGACAGTTCGCCATTAGCTCTCACTCGACCAGTTGTGTTCGAGTAGAGAGCCTTTATAGGGTTAATGTACTTCTTTGGTACTCCTTTCAGTGACAAACACTGCCATAGAACCTCACGATCAACAGAGTCAAATGCCGCCTTAAGGTCGAGAAATACTATCATTGTGGGGCGTCTGAATGTGTGTCTATGTTCTAGGACCTGACGTAGTGTGAATATTTGATCTATACAACCACGTCCAGGTCGAAAACCAGCCTGGTTTTCTCTAGTCTGTTCTCCACGAGCTTTAGTTAGGTGTCGAAGAATTATTGAAGCTAATATTTTAGACACTATATTAGTCAAACTAATTCCTCTGTGATTGTCACAAGAGGACTTTTGTCCTTTCTTATAGACTGGCACAATCAGCGATTGAGACCAGTCAGATGGGATTACATCCAGTTCCCAGATTCTAACTAAGACCTCAGTCAATCTCGCTGCTGATACTGGACCGCCATCCTTAAAAATCTCAGGGGTAAACCTGTCAGAGCCTGCTGCTCTCCCACGCTTCAGATTTCCTATAGCTTTTTCAACTTCGTAAAGAGTCGGAGGACTTAAATCAACTTGCCATTCAGGTCGACTGGAGATTGTGGGAAACCGAAGTGTGGTTGAAGACCAGTTGAGCTGATCCCTAAAGTGTTCTGCCCATCGATCCAATCTCTTGGATTGAGAATGAATAATATGTCCATCTTTCTCTGCGATTGTTTCGCTAACAGTTGGGTTCTTAATACCGGTTTCCTTAACAAGTCTGAACAGTTGCCTACTGTTACCTAGTGCCGCTGCCTTTTCCGTCTCTCTTGCTTCCGCTACCCACCACTGTTCACGATCATTGCGTAAGCTTCTAGTCAGCTTACGCTTAAGCTGACTCCGCTCTTCGTTATGTTCAGAACCAGATGGAATGAGTTTACGAGCATCCATCAGTGTGGTAGATGCTGCTGAGATCCAGTGTTTCTCCTTAACCTTATGGTTTACCATACTTGCAGACATCACTGCTGATTCTACAGCTTTTCGGATGTCATTCTACGCTGATTCGGGGTGGGCATCACATACATGGCTGCCGAACTGTTTTCCTAGTTGTTCCTGAAATATACTCTTAGCTTGACTATCATTAAGTAGGACCCTAAGAGGTTTCTTTGCACCATCTTCCCTACGTCCAGTAAAATGTAGACAAATACGCGCTCACACTAGAGCATGATCTGAGTCTAAACATGTGCTCCAGAACGAGCGACAGTCTTCTATCAAGCTCCTCCATCGGTAGCTGATAGCGACTTGATCTATTTGAGCCCAAAACTAATGAATATTTATTCTGTAATTCCTAAAGTCCGTTTACGTAAAAATGTACATATCTCGGTGGGATTTGCACTCTTTGTCATTCAACACATTGAAATTCGAAGACAATTCATGTAATTAACAACTATTGACTAATCAATCTTCTCTAAGTAATAAATCTAAGATATAGTAAGATAGAATCTTTTGGATAACTATCAATGTCAAGTTTATCAGATTCGGTGTTTTGTTATTTGTAAATTAAAAGATACGCAGCACAACTAGATCCAAGCTAAACTGAAAATTACAACTGGAAGTTGGAAATATACATTGTCTTTAGATAAATTGCACTAGACAAACGAAATGTTTTACTGCACGTAAAACAATGTATAGAAAATATTAAAAACGACAACGGTAAATGGTAATGAATACAAGGATCCTGGTTAATTATTCATTGAACACTAATTTATTGCCATTTATTAAATATAAAACTTCGATACTTATGGTATAAAGAAAAAAAGGAGAAATCATTAAAGATGTTGACCCACTTACTCCAGAGTAGTACCATTCTACCAAAGCCAAATACGAGGAACGTGTAGCCGGAGTGAAATTTTTCTATGCATAAGAAAAGGAACAATTTTAGGATAAATATTGGACAAAGAGCTTCAAGGTTTTTTCAAATACGTTATGGTTTGACATAGCTTACTCAAGTCAGAAATTAATCAACACTTAAGTTAATTAGAGATTAATTTCAATACTAGATAATCCACAATGATCAGTTTAATTCCAGTCAAGTGGCAGAATATTTGAATCAATTCGTAAATCTTGTACGATAATTTTCGATAATACGAACACTTGATATTTCACAAACAGCAGATTCTGATGTTAAGTAGTTGGAAGTGAGAGACAAGAAACCCTGGACCTGGGTGCCATGCTAGTTGGTACTCGTCAGCAAGAGGTACCTGGAGTAATGAAGGACTTTTTAAAGTTTCACATAGTTTCCATTACTGCTCTACTCCAACCTTGAGGGGATTGATGCTCCTTATAGGACTCACATCCACTTAACCCAGCTTCACAGTCTGAGACGTTACCGTCGAGATATTTGTCCCGCAAAAGGCTTTCAGTAAGACTTGGATATCCACTTAGAATGAAAACTGAGTAGCAACTAACTTCATATATGTCCAGTCCTTATGGTTGACCGAGTTCTACCAATCAGGTTAAAATACGGCCACTAGTCTAAGTGACTTGACATCATGTGAACTTTACTTTGATTTTGGATGATTGAAAATATTTGGCAGGGGACTCTGTGTGGAGATTTATTCTTAGTTGATGTCCTCAGGTAAGACGTTTTTATCATATTGAAAGGATGAGGGTCAGAGTCTCAAGAGGAGCACTAGTTCCTTTAGGATCGAGAGTATGTTTTGATGGCGAGTAACAACTGGTACAAGACCTAGGCCCAGAGTATCCTATCGACTGTAACCAAGCACCTTACATCAGAAATTTAATATGCCCGATTTTCAGTCACCTAGACTAGAAGCCGTATTGCAACTAAATAGGTAGAATTCAACTCACTTTAAAGGATTTGACAAATTTGAAACTGATTACTGATCAGTAATTAACCAATCAATTATTTTTGGTTGTTGGAAAGTTGTGTCATTAAGTATCATAAAAGTGTAGTTCAAATAAAAGTACACAAACGTGTACTTCATAAATCAGACACAGTAGACTAATTAAAAATATAAACAATCAGGGAATATATCCAGTCAATGTGGTTCACGAGGGACAATTAAACTAAGAGCTGTAACTTTTAACGACTTTGTAGTACAACATTAGGTTTCTGTAGATATTTTGTTCCGTTAATTAAGATTGTATCCTGATATTGTCATGAAAAAGTAGAGCCTAACACAAATAGGTTGATAAATGTTATTAGTAGTATATCAATCTCAACAAAGCAAACTACTTTGCAGTAACAAAATAGAACCGCAGACCACATGAACTAATCAGGCAATTTATCCTACTTCTTGAATGTCAAACAAAATCAACAAAATTTGCCAGAAGACTACAAAAGAGCAATTGTAACCGATGCAAAACTTGACTTTCTTTTCATAAATGGATATGTTGCCTGACCCCTCAAGTTATATCGTTTTGGAGAACCAATTCATAGCAGACATGTTTCTTAAAGCAAATTACATAGACCTGCATCTACTGAATAAGTTGAATAAACATCAGCCCTATTTTGCAAAGTTAATGAAAGGAAATATCCACGATTAAAATGACATTCGCTTTTCGTCCTCTCAATTTCGAAATTCATTCATCCATTTGGCTAAATACTATTTGGGCACTATATCTGTCAGTGCGTGATGAAAACACAATCTAATTCCTAAGCCTAACCATCAATTCTAAAGCATAATTATAGTTCCCCGTACTGCTTTACAACCCTCATTTAGTCATAGTTAGTAGGTGGACATTCCCAAAGTCACTTTAGCGTCGCTCAAAGGTCCTTCATAAATTATAGTCTCACTTTTTTTTCTTGTAAGAGGAAATGCTAGGATTGCTTACCACTGAAGTATACTTTGATTCCTTATAATCTTGACAGGTGACACGCGAGTTTTCATTGGAATCTTCATCACTTCTAAACCATTTACTTTGGTGAAAAGAATCATCCGATAGTTGCTCCACCACAAGAGAAACAAGACTACGGACACTTGTTGTATTAGCACCAGGACTGATAACGGCCACATGTCCACCAGATTCCAAAATTAAATTTTTGAGGTGGCCATAGATAACAGAATGATCGGGAGTATTGACACCAGCTAACAGGAGAGCTGTTGGAATTTGTTCTAAATTAACGAGGCTATTTGTCTCCGAATTGTGAAATGATAGCCAGGAAGTGTGTGAATTTTCAATGTAATTGAATACTTCAGTGAATACACTTGAAGTGAGAAATCTAAGTTGAGTCTGTGTCGGTAAATGTTACAGAAGTGACTTGCATACTTCAATGCGAGAAATTAATGATTTCCAAACACCAAGGAACTGTTCATACCTATGATTGGAAGGCGACTGAAGACCTTTTTGATTTGAGAAAAAAGCATTATTAAACTGGAATTTATCTCACGTACCGTTCTGATCTCCATGATAAACAGAGAATTCCTAACAAAAAGATGAAACTCATCCCCAAGGTAACTTACCGTCATTGATGAATTCACCGCGATGAAAATGTGATTCTAGACTCCGAAACAGTCAAACCTCAAACCCTGTTCTGCACGATTGGTGAACTGAGCCATCATCAATGTTTCTATATTAATTGCTGGTGATATCTAATATGCCTTGAGATGAAGATATTCTGTTCTGAACGAGTTTTTGTGTATTATTGTGTTTTTTTACCTCTTCACATAATTTTACCATGTTTTCACTTTTATTCTATCTGCGACTAGTCATCTATGATAACATTCTTACTGTGAAATATATGATTTTTGAACTTAAAAAATCTAAAAGGAAGGCAGGATATCGTTGACTGCTGAGATAGCTGAGCAAGTAAACCAGCAGTATTCCACTTTACTGGAAAATAATCAAGTGCGAAAAATCGCAAGAAAATAATAAAAACCGACCTGAATAGCTTAAAGGCTATAAAGAGGTCTAAATAGTAAAGATTATGTTGGATTGAAATTGATGTGTTTGAGACAAACCCTCCCCTCCTGTTCTGACATATCTGATTCATATTTTCAGAGTTAACGACGATAACTTGAGTCAAATTTCTCCGGTTTCCTTCTGAAGATGAGCGAGTTCATGAAAACCAATTCCTCGGAAACTGTTCAAGGAAGTTATTTGAGACATAGTGTCTTCAATTACTCTGTGCACTTAATAATTAGTTGTATATACGAAATAAACTGCAAAATGAAGTCCATTTGTCAAGACGCTTGTAGCGGTAAATAATTCCCCAAAATCAAATAGCTTTGTAAGTTTTCGACATTGGATGCTGACCACTGTTTTAGTGGACTCATCTAGCTGAAGGCGCTCGGTCAAGCATCCGCACCAGATCACGTGTGGGAACGCCGTGCTCAACATCTGCCTCAATCGCTAGTCAGATTAGTGCAAACGATCCTCGATATATTGATAGCTTATCAAATATATCTTCGATCTCCTCGCTTCTGTCTTTTGATTTTACTTGGTGGGTGCGCTTCGTATTAGAAGGTGTTACTGGTTAAAGCGTTGTCAAACTCCGAATACCTGTGGCATCTTCATTGCTGAGCCCGACGTGATCTGGTACACCATATTGTAAACTGTGAGTCTGTTCCTTTTTGTGATTTCATATATCATTGTCTTATTTTAATTTCTTTTTTTTACATTATGATATTTTTTTCCGTGTTTTTGGGTTCATATATATATTTGCCACTCGTTCACCTTTCGTACTTGGTATATTACTATGACTGAACAGACCCCTAAAGTATTTAAGTTAAAGACTGTGTGCCCATCCTCTTTCCAACTTATGCCTTTCTGGCCAGACAACATCGAAGCCTGGTTTTATTATGCAGAAGCCGACTTCTACGAGCACGGCGTGAACGATGCGCGTGCACAATTCCTTGCAGTAGTCAAGGCACTACCGCCCGAATTCAACAGGTACGTAACACCTAGTATGTTTACTAGTGATGTTTCTGATCCATACCAAACACTGAAACAGGCCATCCTTAAACGCGGAGAACTAACCGATCGACAAAGGTTAGACCAACTCCTTAACAACATCGACCTGCAACACGGTTCTGCCACAGACATGTTGCAAAGAATGCGAGAAGTCATTGGCCAAAGAACCATCGATGACGGCCTATTCAAGCAACTTTTCTTATCCAAACTTCCTCAACAGGTGCAAGCTGTTTTGGTCTCGTTCCAAAACAACGCCGTAGACGAACTAGCGGCATCTGCCGATCGCATTCTCGAGATCACTAGGTCTCCTAACGCCGAGGTTTTTTCAGTCAAAGAAAAGCCTCAAACGACCCAGAATGACATAACACAGTTATGTCATACACTCACGCGCTATCTCAAACTCGGCAACGACCGTAAACGATCACTTACTCCGCGGAGAAGCACATCACGTAGGCGATCTGTCTCTAGAACTCGAGAGACGGATAATCCTGATTGGTGCTGGTACCATAACCAGTACGGAAATTCCGCCAGAAATTGCAGAAAACCCTGCAATTTCCCCAACGCGAAATCCGTCGACACGAAGAAACTTCCAAGCCGGCACGCGTTAACGGCGACCGTAGCCGGCGAACATAGCCGTCTTTTATATGTCACTGATGTGATAACGAGAGTTCGCTACCTCGTAGATACTGGCGCAGAGGTTAGCGTTCTCCCAGCGAATTCCGACGACAGGCTACACGAGCCTGTTTTAAATCTACAGGCGGCAGACGGAAAGCCTATCGCTACTTATGGCCAAAGGTATGTTTATCTTAACGTGGGTTTACGCAAACCCATTCACTGGATTTTTGTTGTTGCAGATGTTTCTATGCCAATCATTGGTATGGACCTTCTACAACACCACAACTTAATTATCGATACGCGCAAACGGAGGTTAGTTGACGGAAACACTAATTTATCTGTTTGCCTGACTTCTTTTTCTGGTTGCAGGTTATCCCCAGTCACTATTAAGCACACTATAGACCCCTTCTACCAACCACTACTCGATAAATATTCTGGCATTTACCAATCGCAACCGAAATTGCCGTGTGTAACCAGCAATGTTAAACATCATATCACGACTACAGGACCACCTGTCTTCTCGAAAGCACGCCGACTGGCCCCCGAAAAGTTAAGGTTGGCGAAGAACGAATTCGACCATATGATAAACTTAGGGATCATACGACCGTCAAATAGCCCATGGGCATCTCCGTTGCACATGGTCCCTAAAAAGGACAGCAACGATTGGCGTCCAACTGGTGACTATCGGAGATTGAATGCAAAAACCGTTCCCGATCGTTACCCGTTGCCCCACATTCACGATTTGACAGCTACCTTGAAAGGTGCAACTGTCTTTTCAAAAATTGACTTGGTAAAAGCTTATAACCAAATTCCTATGGCCACTGAAGACATTCCAAAAACCGCTATTATAACGCCCTTCGGACTCTATGAATTTTTGCGAATGCCTTTCGGTCTGAGAAACGCGGCACAGACTTTCCAAAGGTTCATAGATGACGTTTTTCGAGGTCTCAACTTCGTACATGCATACGTTGATGACTGTCTAATAGCAAGTCCGGACAGAGAATCACATCTCCAGCATCTGGACCTTGTTTTCGACCGACTACAAAAACATGGCATTACCGTGAACATTCAGAAATGCCAAATCGGAACCGAATCCTTAGACTTCTTAGGACACACTATAGATGCGCAAGGCATTCGACCCCTTAGAACGAAAGTGGCGGCCATTCTGGATTACCCAGAACCGACCACCATCAAGCAATTGCGCACGTTTAACGGTCTGGTAAGTTTTTATAGACGATTCATACCGAAATGCGCGTTACTTATGAAACCCCTTACCGACCAACTTCGTGGAAATGCAAAATCCATTAATCTAGATGACACTACCCGAAAAGCATTCTCCACGGTTAAGGAACATATCGCCCGAGCAGCAATGCTTGCTCATCAGGACCCTAAAGCGCCCATTAGCATCTCAGTAGACGCATCCGACTGAGCAATCGGAGCAGTCTTACAACAATGGGTTAACCACTCCTGGCAACCTTTGGCATTTTTCTCTAGACGGTTGCTAGACACTGAATCGAGGTACAGCACATTCGGTAGGGAACTCCCAGCTATGTATTGTGCTGTCCGGCATTTTCAACACTATATCGAAGGCCGTGAATTTATCATTTTTACCGACCATAAACCACTTACCTTCTCCTTAAGCTCTTCTTCAGACAAGTACTCACCACGTGAGTCTCGACAACTGGACTACATTTCGCAGTTTACTTCAGATATTCGACACATTTCTGGAGCAAACAATGTGGTTGCAGACGCCTTGTCTCGTATAAATTCCTTGAACAGTTCCCAAGGAATCGACCTTTTAAAACTCGCCCAACTTCAAAAAGAAGACAGTGATCTTCAGCACGAGTTGGCCTCAACAACACTTAAACTGCGCATTAAACAGATGGGAACAGGTAAGGAAACCTTACTTTGTGACACATCTACAGGTAGGGATCGCCCAATCGTGCCGAAACAATGTCGATGCAACGTCTTCGATACGTTGCACAGACTTTCTCATCCAGGTGTTCGTGCAACCATCAAGCTTATAGCGGAACGGTTTTGCTGGCCTGGTATGAATAAAGACGTGAGGGAATGGGCACGCTCCTGTGTAAGCTGCCAGAAATCTAAGGTTATTAGGCATAACAAATGTCCCTTAGGCTCGTTTAAAACTCCCGATGCTCGCTTCGATCATGTTCATTTGGATTTGGTAGGACCTTTACCAGATTCAAATGGATATTCTTATCTTTTAACATGCGTAGACCGTTTTACTCGATGGCCAGAAGCAGTACCCATCAGAGATATTACTGCTGAAACAGTGGCCCGCGCCTTCGTCGAGAGGTGGGTAGCAAACTTCGGCTGCCCAACAACCATTACTACAGATCGTGGACGTCAGTTTGAATCTGAACTGTTCCGTTGTCTGACCATGAAACTAGGAATCACTCGCTTTCGAACGACGGCCTACCACCCACAAGCAAACGGGTTAGTAGAACGTTTTCACCGACAACTAAAAGCGTCACTATCAGCCTCAAACATTTCTCAGTGGACTGACGCTCTTCCACTCGTCTTACTAGGCATACGCAATGCAGTGAAATCTGACATTGGATACACTGCATCTCAACTCGTTTATGGTACGACCCTTCGACTTCCAAGAGAGTTCGTAGACCCTTCATCCTCTTCGATGGACATGGATCTAACCTCCTACGCGAACAGGCTTACAAACTCAATGCGTTCAGTTAAACCTGTTTCCACTCGACCACAATCAACTGATGTTTTCGTTCAACCTGACTTACTACATAGTACACACGTTTTCGTGCGTCGAGACTCGCATCGACGACCTCTCGAATCAACATATGAAGGACCTTTCAAAGTTCTTCAACGCGAATCTAAGTACTATATAATAGATAAGAACGGAACCAACGAAAGCATCAGCATCGATCGCCTCAAAGCAGCGTATTTTGAAGGAAATCCTATTCACGTCGATTTTCCTTCAATACAATCGCACGACACAACTCCTGCGCTTATAATGCCTCAATCGACAGCAGACACACACGTTGATACTGCGACAGTATCCGAAAATAAACTCAAAACAACGCGTTCTGGAAGAAGAGTAAGATTTCCAGAACACTTGAACGATTACTGCACGTAAGACACAAGTTAACATTTTATATCCCCTCGATTTTCCCTTGTACTATATATAATTTTTTTTTAAAAAAAAACCTGAATTTAATATGCTTATATATTATTTCTTTTTTTATTTCAAAAAAGAAAAAAACAAAAAAATAACGATATTGTAAAAATTTTATTTTACGCTACTACGTGAGCATGAGTTTGTTTTCATTTTTCTTCTCCCGTTTTGTGTTTTCACGCGCGTACGAGTGTTTTCCGACATGCACTTACATATTTTTCTTTTCTTTTCCAGGACGACTGGAAAAGAACGATGAAGTTGTGAAAAACGAAAATCTGCATTGTACCTTTTTTTTACTTTATTGTACATCATGGTCCATTATAGTAAGGAAAGACGACCAGACGCTGCTAAACCTAGCAAGCTATCAGAAGAGTGTTTACCAACGAAAATCTCGTTGGGTTTAAACTTCTGGCTGGCCACGTCTTAGGGTCATCACTACCCCACTAGGGGGGGAGTGACCTGTAGCGGTAAATAATTCCCCAAAATCAAATAGCTCTGTAAGTTTTCGACATTGGATGCTGACCACTGTTTTAGTGGACTCATCTAGCTGAAGGCGCTCGGTCAAGCATCCGCACCAGATCACGTGTGGGAACGCCGTGCTCAACATCTGCCTCAATCGCTAGTCAGATTAGTGCAAACGATCCTCGATATATTGATAGCTTATCAAATATATCTTCGATCTCCTCGCTTCTGTCTTTTGATTTTACTTGGTGGGTGCGCTTCGTATTAGAAGGTGTTACTGGTTAAAGCGTTGTCAAACTCCGAATACCTGTGGCATCTTCACGCTCAAGGTGAGCACTTGTCCTGACAAGAGTTGGAAGGAAAGATGTGAAGTTTATGGTTGGTGTATAAAATAAATTCTTGGCCCACTATAGAGTTCTAAAAGTTCTGTAGAGCACGACATGTAGCTTGGAGCAGCTTACCAAAATGTTATACTTCGGTCGTATAGGTTACTAACCATATGATCTTTGAAGCTTATCAAATAATATCAGAGAAGAATGAAGATCAGTATGATATGGCTCGGCCATGCTGATGTGATTATTTTACATAACCCCTTGCTTTATATATTGAATATACTGTTCTATTCTCACCTTAAGTGTATTCAACAAAAGACCAAAGCAGCAACCACTGATGTCACAGTAGGACTAGTCATCAAAGCTAATGATATGATCCCCATGTAAAGTCTGACATATAATGTGGTCACACCGTGGCTAGTCTACGATAGCCTTACTTTAGTAGCATAGGTAACTGTACTAACAGCGACCTATACCATAATTTTGCAATATGTCGATTCAGTGTCCTGTGATCGTCTCGAGAAGAATGTTAAGTGTCGCCATGTGATTTTTGCCAATTTTTGTAAGACTCTCCAGACTTTTAGTTGCATTTGTATATGGCCATACTAATGGATGCATCTATAATTAAGTGTGTAAGCATAGCTGACTTTGTAACACGTCTCTACACTGTAGAATATTCTCTCTTTGCGTTGCCATCCGGTTCGATTATTTTTTCATCTCTATGAAAGTGTCCAGTTGAGATACTCATGTAAAACGCGCAATTTGGTGTGAATTGTCAGTAGAAACTTACTAGTATGTTACATGTACATAGTTAATTGACTGTGGCCCATTCTGGGTGGTGCATAATGGCCGGCACCTTGTTTTCCAGAAGGCTAACACCCTGAGTGTCGAATATTCTTTGACCAGTTTGATTTCCGAAAAGACAGTCGCACAATTCAATATGGCTATCAGGCCGTGCATAGGCCAATTACAACTTTTCACTTTAGGGACCATATATAGGGTAGATGCTATGAGCTGCTTGATGACCTGATAAGTCCCTCATAGATTATGTGATCGAATTCATTTTTAAACAATTAGATGATTTTTAATCGCTATTAGTAATACTATGATAGTAGACCTAATGCTTAAATTGCAGATTTGTCGTGAATTGAAAACCAGTACATGGATTTGCGTGATGCTACTGACTTTGTCAATTAGGTGATCCAATAGAAATCCAGAGAGTCCGGATAAATATGTGGCCACTACTTTATGAACCATCTAAAATGAGCTTATGTTTGCAGAAAATATAAGGCTTAAACTCAGCATTAGTTTCCGGAATACTGTCCATGATTTTAAGCAATGCAACTCAAAAATTAGACATAAGACAGACAGTGGTCGGAAGGAAAGACATTAGATGATGGTACATACTTTAAAATAAAGTAAAATGTTAAGTGAAGAAGCATAACGAAAAATTGGATCCAGGTAACTACTCAGTCCTTGCCTACATCGATTGCCAGCTTATATGTATTTACGGTGATCAAAAGCCATGCAATCCTGAATGAATTTTTACGCGTTCATCATCAACCGATCTTCTCAAATCGTTATATGTTGAATGTCAATCTTCTCAGTGTTGTTCGGCTTTGAGAATCGCGTGGTTAAGAAACAATATCACTACAAACACACGTTAAGATAACCATGACTGTCAACAGAATTGACGGTGCCCCTAAACTGAGGACTGGAATTTGTAGACGATCATTGGTATTCGTAGGGAGTTTCCTAGAATGTTTAAATTTGAGAAAAATGCGTTATTTCCAGAAATTTATGGAAGGAAATAAAAATGTTGCTGCACCAATTTAAACTCTGTTTCTTGCTGTCTAGAAATAGGTCTTTTATCAGATGGGCTTTTTAAGGAGTTCTCGACCGTCAGGAACCATGATAAATGCTAAAAAATGGGTGAAGGTTTTCTCAAGTCGACCGGGTTTTTTGACAGAATTAATCTCGATGCTTGGGGTCCTAGTGACCGCCAGAATCTGACTGTCAGTCTAAAGCATCATACTGGAGTATAATAAGGACGGCTTGCGCATGTTGAGGAAGCTTGGATAAAAGGCACTGCCGAGAAGGACCTCCGACCAAACTTCATTGTTCAGTGACCTCCCTCATACGATGCACAATTTCTTTTCCAATCTGTTTTGCGATTTGATATCGTGTAGTGGCTGGTCTAACCCTCATAGACCGATTAGGTCTCTGTGTTTAAGGACGGCGTTTTTCAGCGTGGTAAGATTCAAAAAGAACACTAGTATCTATACAAAGTGTAACGTAACTGCTGAACTAGCCCGACAGTTCTTTTACTACTAAGGAAGATTTTACACATGTGTCTGCCATACGGTGCTTGTGAAAGTCAGCTTCTGCACTAAAAACCGAATTCTCGCATTATCAGGCTACGATAGCATGGGTTGCCAGGTGAGGGACGTGAGACCATACCCTTAACAGTTTGGGTGTCCGTTCCAAAATAATAAAATATAGGCATATGCAAAAAGCAGAGAATACAAATCTAATTATGACATGTAAATAAATATAATGTTACAGCAAGGAATGGACTTAAAATCTGTCGTTTTATGTACCGGGTCACATCAGGCTTAACGCTAAAAATGTTACGGATATTCAGGGTTCGACAGAGCTTTTATCCGTGACATCTTTGTATTCGGGGTTCCACTATGTTGACTCCCTTTGTCTATCAATCAATCAATCGCAATCTTCGATGTGTGCCAAAAGCGGGGTTGAGTTCCCACAGTTACTATTCGGAATTTAATTTACGTCGCTCTTTTTCCATCCTTAATATATCATGCAAATTTCTGTTTTTGTATACTAATTTACGTTTATGAGGCAGATCAAGTGTGTTAAGTTTAACACTTTACTTGCTCCAACTTCGTTTAATGTATGATCTTGTGTTTGACATGCAATATTAACTTACTACACATTCCACCCCTTTGTCACTCATTTCTTTTATCTAGTTAAAAGAATCGATGGCAGAATTTTGTATTTTCCATCATCTAAAAACAACATATTATACTACAAGCACAAACGTAAACGAATAACCAGTTCTTTATTTATCATGGAAAGCGTTTTATTTTTTCAAATCTATATTGTTCATGCAACCACATATTTAATGAAGTGAAATATTTCTTGAAATACTCGACTTAAACGCAGGACATGATTTTTTTTATCTCACAAAACGTTGTTGTGTGACTGACAGAAAATTCAAACTTCTTTAAGTGATTGAATTTCGTTAGATGCTAAAGGTCATACAATAGATGGGACTGTTTTGAAATCCACAAATGGGATGTTTCTGCACTTAATTGTGACCTGAAATGTCGACCTCAAGTTGCCATTTCTCTGCTATAAAAAGTCTTTTCGATAATGCTGTTGAGAATGGTGAAATTACAGTACTCGAATTTACTACTCGGCTATCAGAAATCAGTATGAGCTTATCACCTGAAGAGATAAAAGTATTGCCGCTAGTTGTTAATCGCCTTTTTAGTCTCTAGCACAACGCGTAGATAGCGAAATGAAGATGTCGTATAAGCAGATTCTAGAAAAGCATTCTTCAGACAATGGAAACGAAAAATTGTCTAGAGAGTAAGTCAGTTGTTCCCCAACTATTTCAGGCTACAATTCCAAATTTTACTGGTCCTACATACTCGTCTTCTATGCTCGTTTGAAGAAGCTGATATGTGTGCTGACCATGAACTTGGTGACTGGGTAAATAAAATGGTTATCTGATCTGTTTAGATTTCGGAGTTAATCAGCCGACTTAGCTTATGTGATCCTACTTGGAATGAATGGAAAAACTTTCTAAAATTGGAAGTTGTCGATAGGTATTTTCTCTATCAATTAATTGCTTTAAAGGTACAAGATAGGCTTTGGTCGCACATTATTTCATGTCTATATCAATCTTGGTCTGGAACCTCCTGAGTGTCTACCCCATGATACGGAACTTACATCAGAATCACGTACTCTAGAGGAAAATGTAGATGAAGTCGATGGGGTCATACCAAATTCACCTCAGTATGTTCTGTATTTTTTTTTTACTATCTACGGCAGTTTTAACCGTTACTTTGTGTTAATGATGACTAAAGTTCCTATCTAAGCAATTCTATTTGGGATTTCGATAAACTATGCCCTCCCCAAATTATATTCTTATCAATTCTTAAAACAACATGCACCATGTTTACACTTTGAATCAAAAAAACTATAGGAAAACTTGAAACTTTTTTTGCTTAAGTATGGGTAGATTACTGAACTTAGTCACATGTTTCTTGGATTTATGTTGCAGCTATGTGAATGACCGAGAATTGCACCTGACCCATTACCCATATCATGTCTTTTATGAAAACATGGTATTTCTTCGTCAGGTTATCGACCTAACTTGAATCATGTAAGGACAAAGTGTTTCTGACTGGAATTATGGTGTTAGAAATCAGTAAATGAAGACCTCCAGTAATGTAGTTCATAACCATCTGTTGACTCAACTGGTTCCTTGTTGGTCTTCGGATCATAATAAATCCTGCAAATCGAATTTGGCTTCCCCACCTAATCATGTCGTTCATCTTCAGTCCTTAATATTTTAAAGTTTGATATCTTTTAATGGTGAATTTTTGTATTAACCTCTGCATTCGCTATCTCACCATCTAGTGGCGTATCTTTAAGTAGCTCATTCTGAACTTCTGCTAAATGAATAGTCCTGACACTATAATTTTCCTATTATGTTACTCTTGCTTGTATTAAAAATCGTAAACACCTTGTTTTGGGGTCCACAATTATAGACATACTAGACACTTCTGGTATTTGGAAAGTCCCACCTAATCATCCTAAAACTTCTACTTTCTCGATTTCAACATTTTCCATTTATCGTCTAATTGTCCAACTTTCATAGCAAATTGCTAACTCGTCTTTCGTCAAGTAAACTGGAAAAGTACTTCTAGTTCCATCGCAGGATTTTTAATTTGTATATCATCCCTTATCCTCAAGGTTTTTGATTTACTACCATTGAGCTGTTAGCATTTAATGAATAAGGTCTCCTAAACGTTTGTGCCAACTTCAACATGATCATTCAGTTGAGTTGGCAAAATTGGTTGTAATCATAATATTTGTTAATAATAACCTAACATTTTTAATAAGTGGTCAAAAAGGTAGAAAAGAAAAACAGCACTTCCAACTATGAAGTGACATCATTATTATCTGGGGCACAAGCAAGATGCAGACTTAAGTTGAGGAATCACTATTCTTAACTATAAAAAAACTACACAAAAGTTTAAATAAAGTACATTATATATTTACTTTGTGGGAAGTTAGTTTGGATTAGTCGTCCTATTGTGGAATGTCAAGCATATCATTTCAAGTCTTATATAACCGATTTCAGCCGTTTTGCAAACTTTATAATGACGTACAGTTCTATACACAGATCAGGATAATAAACTCTTCAAATGGCCAAATGTTTTTAGTGTTATTTCTGTGTATGGCTATTATAGTGCATCATGGTGACTTATTTGGTGTTAGTTGTGGGTAACCAACATCCGTTTTTTGAAATTTATATGAAGTTAATTATCAGGTAAATGATGACGGATTTCTAGTTTCATCTCATGTATCTACACCTGCCCTTAAGCTAGATTATCTTGAGTCAAAACGGGGTTCCCACAGATACTTATAAATTTACTTGATGTCAGCAATCCATTCCAACAGAATCTGTTGACAGAACCAGCTTGGTGTTACTACTTAGCCTCTACGTTGACATAACTGAAAAAGCTGGAATTCTCTTGTTATGATACTAAGCGTAAACTAGTCCAACTGTAGGCTCACTATCAGTCTTTAAATAATGTTATTGTAAAATTAGTCTTATAAATTACCGAGGTGTGAAACGTTTGATTAAAAGAAGCGGGAAAAGCAATTTTACAAATACCGTTATCACTTCGAAAGTCGGACGTAGTTTATGAGACAGATTGTGTCAAAAAATTTCGGGGTAAACATAAGGTTATATATAATATATCCGTTATATAATATGCCATTGTGGGCCAGGGTAATTTTAAATTGGTTTTCAGGAGAACCGGACACCATCCAGACTTTCACGTGACAACCCAAACAGTACAGCACAATCCCGCTTCTCAGGAGATCCAGACACCGCCCAGGCTTAACCCGAGCAGTACAGCTCAATTCCACTTGCAGGAAACCCAGACACTACCCAGGCTTAGAATTTGTAGCCCAAATAATACAACTCAATCCCGTTTCCAGGAGAACCAGACACCATCCACCAAACATAAGGTGCTTGACTTATTTATTTGTTTAAATAAACAAACGGTGATACAAAATCATCGGAATATATATGCGCCACACGTTGAATTCGCGTGTAGATTTGAACGCTGACTGGGTGTCAAAACCGGAGCAGGTGGTTTTCTCAGGGGACCACACCCGGAGCCCTCGACTTATGGGTCTGATCCATAAGACAGGGAAGTAACGTCAGAAGATGCAGTCTCATGGTAGCCAGTGATCAACTATTGGTTCATACGCCATTAGTTCCTTCATGATCCTGGAGCCAGCTGATGTGCACCATTGGTTTTGAATCAGGGTTTTCCAACTCCCCTAGTTGGGTCCTCCATATCCACCAACTCAGTTAAAGCGCTGGACATTCGCTTTTCGTCCTTTCAATTTCGTAGTCAACACCCGAAAAGGCAGTTAATAGGACTTCTCTAGTAGTGGTTGTATACGTGTGGCCATGTTAGAGCATTTCGAAAGGGATAACTAACTCTCCACACCCCCGGCATTTGGAGGTTATTGGCAGCTGGTAGCAGTTGAATTAAGACAATTGTATTTAATACTATCATCAGATAAGTCTATTATATGGTATAAGATAAAACATTTTGTCAAATCTTTAGGTTTGTAATACACTTTGACTCATTTCACTTAATAAGACTTTGAAGCAAATGTTGATCAAAATATCTAGTTTATCTTTTCTCTAGCCAGAACTTATTTGTTAAAAATTAGTTCAATTTCTTTTTATTATTTTCTGTAAATAATAGACCATCAAATGTCATGCAACCTTCACCAGTACCACGCAATACCATCAGACAATCGCTTCCACGTGCGTTGTTTACTGATTCAGTACACATCTCACTTTCATCCAATGAAACTCCTAATCCCTTGACATCCACTCCAATTTTATCCAATGTAACTAGTTCGTGTCCTGTCAATACAGAGTCATCTAGTAAATATCGGTCTTGTAAAACTATACCAACTCCTCATCTAGTACTTATACCATGTCAACGATCAAAACGAAAATGCCGAACTCCAACGAAACGCATTCCGGTAAAACGAGAAGCTCGAAAGAAGCCAACAAAGTTAGTTTACTGTTTTTTTCCTGATACTTTTCTCTCAATGATTTTTATAGCATAATATATGAAATACAGGACTGAAAATTGGTTACCTTTGGTTCTTTCACGGCAGAAGAATTTTGTTTTGGCCTCTTAATTTACCTATTGTGCATAAAAGTGTTTATTATAATAAAATAGATACATTCAATTGCTACACAATCCCAAGTAGCGGGTTTAATTAAAAAACAAACCATACTGTTAACTATGCCTTCAAATGCTCTGGTATGGCCGAGAGTGAAGTGGGTCCGCCCTGTCTCTCGAAATGCTCTCACACGGCCACGCGTATACAGCCTCCGCCAGTGAAGTCCTACTCACTGCCTTTTCGTGGCGGGGGTGTTGTTTACGAAAATGAGAAAACGAAAAGCGAATGTTCAGCGCTTTAACCGGATCCCAAATCAATGGTGCACATCAGTCAGTCAGTCAGTAACAACGTATCCTGAAGGAACAAATGGCGTATGAACCTATTGTTGATCACTCGCTATCATGGGATTGCATCTCCTTACGATGCTCCACTGCCTTGTGGATCAGACCTTTAGGTCGAAGGCTCGGAGTGTGGGGCCCCCTAAGAAAACCACCTGCTTCGATCTGGGCACCCGGGCAGTATCACAGCCCACACACAAATAAAATAAAAATTTGTGTGGCACATTTATATTTGGTGCCCTATTGTACCAATATTTATGTGTTCAAATAAATAAATAAATAATACTATTAACTGTCAAGTGAACATTTTAGATCTGTCACAATGAATACAAAATATAATATGCTACCAGGGATCTCTATATTTGTAGTAATTTTAATGGCGTCACTAGATGAAATTTTCAAAGTATATTGATATCTCAAAGACTTACTGAAGGTTGCTTACTAACGACTTTGAGATTAAAAACTAAAACACTAATTCATTGTCATCTACCCTCGTGTTATGTAGAAATGAACATTTTATGTTCCAGTTAGTCAGATGTTAATATTATTTCCTCTGTTACTTGTTTAGTTTGTCAAACTCTTCATTGAAAATTTGTTCTTATGTGTTTAATCTGTTAGCACAACACCAACTACAAGACACAGACATCCTTCAGCTAATTCATCAAAACGAACTCCAGTTTCAACGTCAGCTCGTACTCCAAAGAGTTCAAATCGATCACGTTCACATAATATCACGTCTCCTAATGCTAATAGCGTAAAACAAAAGTCGACATTATCGGAAACGCCCATTTCAACAAGAGGAGAGTCTAAAAGAAAGGCGAATACCGATTCAAAACGTAATCATCGACGTTCAGTACACGAGACACCTAATCCAGAGAAGTCATATCCTCGCTGGGAACGCGCCAAGTTGGCTGCAGCAGAGAAAACAAAAAATAAGGTATATTTTTGTGTAATTAGCAAAAATCATTTGGATTTTTGTAGCTATATTTTTCTCTTTTAACTAGATTTACTCCTCTTTTTTGAGATTAAATTGGTTGAAAAGGTTATGTTTACCTGTCTATAAAGTATAATCAAAGTCCTGTTCACTAATTTACGTAGTAAGGTTGCTTTCAGGAAAGGTGGATGAGTAACCACGAATGTTTAAAACTTAGGCGAAATTAGTAGACGCAATTATACTATACTCTTATAAATTTGTCAAATACTAATTCCAAGCTAGTTATCCCTGTGCACTCGAAAATTCGAAATGTCAGACACTGACTACCATCAGTCAGTCAGTCAGCTGCAACGTAGGACCATGATTCCCATGTGGGAAGGAAATTGACCTATTGACATCCCTTCGTTTCCTTACCCAATGAATTCTTTAGATTGGAACAAATTATCTCTTAACGAAATCATCACTTATATAATAATACTTTCATAAAATGTAACTGTAAAAATGCCATGGTAAGGCTAAGAGTGGGGAGAGTCCCCTCTCCCTCCTGAAATGCTCCTATATGGCCACGCGTATACAGCCATTACCAGGGAGGTCCTACTCATTGTTTTCTTGAGGTAGGGGTATTGTTTACATAATTGAGGGGGTAGAAAGCGAGTATTTGGTCCCTAAACTGAGTTGGTGGGTATAGAACATTCACAGAGGGGAGTTGAAACACCTTGATTCCAAACCAATGGTACACATGGGCTCCAGGATCCTAGGGAAACAAATGGCGTATGAACCTATGTTGGTCACCGGCTACCATGGAACTACATTTTCTGACGTTACTCCACTGCCTTATGGATCAGACCTTTAGGTCGAAGGTTCCGGGTGTAGCCTCCTGAGAAAACCACCTGCTTTGGTTTGGGCACCAGGACAGTATCCCAATCTACCTACGAAGAAAAGATAACAAGTTGGCTGATAAAGCTGGGAATTTTCGCCAACTGATATAGTTGAGACGTGTATTGTGTATACTCGATCACTGCCTACTACCTTATTATTGGCCGAGGTAGCGGTAGGTTTGCAGTTTGAAGACTATTTATGTTAAATCGTTGTTGTTCTCCTAAGATTTCTCTCTGTCAACGAACCCACTGTGATTGGTGTTCTTTATTTATACTTGTATTCTGATTCTTGTTTCAAATCATATAATCACAAAAATCTCAACTCCTTTTTTATATAATCCATTTCTTATTGCCTCTTCTCGTTATGATTTCAGTGTAATACCATATATTTACAACCTCACTTCATTTTTAAAGTGATATGACCGGAAATAACCTCCCATAATGTGTTCAACGAAGAGAAGTCACTGACTAGCATATATTCGGCAGTATTTTTTTTTAACTATGCTATCAATCTTTTCTATGTTATTATTGTTTAACTATCGCCCCCAAATGCCCTGGTACGGCCGAGAGTGGGGATAGTCCACTCTCCCTCTGCCTCTGCCAGGGAAGTCCTACTCACTGCCTTCTCGTGGCGGGGGTGTTGTTTACAAAAATGAGAGGACGAGAAGCGAATGTCTGGCGCTTTAACCGGACCCCAAACCAATGGTGCACATGGGCTGGCTCCAGTATCCTGCGAGAACAAATGGCGTATGAACCAATCGTTGGTCACCGGCTACCATGGGACTGCATCTCCTTACGATGCTCCACTGCCTTGTGGGTCAGACGTTCAGGTCGAAGGCTCGGGGTGTGACCCCCTAAGAAAACCACCTGCTTCGGTTTGGGCACCCGAGCAGTATCACAGCCCTCACACAAATCAATTGAGATTCGTGTGGCGCATATGTACTTGGTGCTTCCCTGTACCTATACTTATGTGTTAAAATAAAATAAAATAAATAAAATGTTTAACTATCAATATTCTACCACACTATTTATATAATCCTAATGGTTAAAGCACAAATATCCCTACTAATCTGTTCACAGTTTAATTGTATAAAACACTAAGAGCATTACTGATTTACTTCTTTTTTGTTTGTCTTCTCAACAGGCAATTATTGTAGATGAATCACCAATAAAACCACTGCTAACAACAGTCAGTCCATTACGTCGACTACGTCGAGCTAACTCTATGCTAAATAGTCTTTTGTACATAGAAGCACAAGAAGCTGCCAATATAACAGCTCAGACTCACAGTGGTGGTGGTGGTTGTCTTCCAACACTATTGAGTAATAGTTCTAGTCTACCATTTAATTCCGATGATGACAATGAAGATAATAATCGACTAACTCGTGAATCATCACTTCAATTCAGTCAAGAACTACCAATACAATATAAAGATTCATGCTTGTCCGTAGCAATGTCACGTGCTGAACGTTGGAGACGACGTCAATTAGAAGAGGAAGCTAGTTTAAGTCAATTCTCAACACAAATTTCTAACATTCAATCAAATTCTGTACATATAAATAATGATTTCATCAATGAAAATATTAATTCATCAACACCTCCACGTTTACTACGTCGTAATTCTAATTTATTAGCCAATATGATTTCTTCATCAGATCATCATCGTTTAAATACAACATTAAGTCAATTAATTCATAGTCCAAAACGAATAAAAACTCCTCGTAAAAGTAAGTTGATATATAAACTCATCCGAAGTAATGTTATATCAGATTGGATAGATTTACTGTTTATCATACTGTTTGGTATTCTGATACTAAGCAATCGTTTCAAGGTGAAATCGTTTGACCTAAGCACTGTATTTCGTAATCTAAGCAACAATGCCAGAATGTTTGAGATGCGCTTCTCCCCCTCTAAATGCAAGTTGTTGCTTCATGACTGGTCTGCATCAACACCTGAACTAAGGATAGGAAGTGAAGTAGTCGAACGCGTTGACAACTTCACTTACCTTGGAAATCTGATCAGCTCTGATGGGTTGATGTCTGACGAAACCTCAGCACGGATTCGTAAAGCCCGTCTGGCTTTTGCCAACTTACGTCACCTATGGCGAAGGTGAGATATCTGCGTATCAATTAAGGGACGAGTATACTGTGCGGTAGTTCGTTCTGTTCTGGCTGCAAAACGTGGCCATTAAGAGTAGAAGATACTCGTAAGTTACCATTATTTGACCACAGATGACTTAGAAATCTTGTTCGCATCTGCTGGGATCACTGGGTAAGTAATAGTGAGGTTAAGCGCGGGTTATTAGGGAATGATGGTAAATCAGTTGATGAGGTTGTGGATCTTCATCGACTGAGATGGTTGGACCACGTTCTGCGTATGCCTGAACACTGATTACCACGACGAGCGATGCTAACTGGTGTTAGGGATGATTGGAAGAAAGTTAGGGGCGGCCAAACCAAAACGTGGCATCAATGCTTGAAGTCACTAACTTCTGGGCTGAGCCATGTCGGTAGATGCAGACTACTTTGTTGGGGTCCGCGTGACTATCGTAACTAACTGTTGGAGACTCTTGGTGACATGGCTTAGAATCGATCACAATAGTATAGGTGTATACACTCCCTGTCTTCCCTTAAACCATATGTGCCTGGTCCTACGTTGTAGCTGACTGACTGACTGATCTGTTCGTGTCTTTCATCATATAGTGTAGATCATATTTTACTTACAGTCCTAACCGTAAATCATGTTTCTATAATTCATTCACCGCAATAATTTGTCAATTATCACCAGTATGATAGATTGTGACATAATCGTGTATAGAACCAAGTGGTCACATTTTATATCCGTACAACGAAGAAAGCAATCAACAAAATACTGAAAATAAATAATGCAAATATGCCACTGTAGTTAATTTTGCATCATTCTATTGCATAACATATCCAACTTCTGGTTATTGGTATTAAGCTAGCTTTGATCACAGAAAGTTTGCATCAGATTGACATTTAATGATTTCCATTACTTGATTTTATGTACTGATCTTTAAACCCTCTAATTTTTAACATCCTACTTCTATCAGTTAACATTGGACATCAATGTAGATGGTGGTTAAATATACATAACACACCCTTAATTACTGCTAATTGATGAAAGTTTCTAGTGTCATCATTCGACTTGTTCATTCAGTCCCACTATACGTGACTAATGCTTCAATATGAACTATAATGGATTATTTGTTGCTTATGTACGTCTTCTGTTTTCGTAGACCAGGTTCCCAATAATAGTCTAATGCATGCAGATTATTTTTCCCTAACTTCTTTTCCTTTTTCCTCTACAATAAGACATTTTTAATGTGACGCCCAAGTGTACTCCAAATGCAAAAAACAATTGCTCTCAATTGTCTACAGCAACAACTCAGATAAATACAGACTGTCTAAATCCAGCACAAGTTATTACAACTCCTCCTACCTCTACTATGAAACCATTTCTACAAAACGATGTTCAACCTATGTCAAGTGTGAATACAGTAGGCTCATTCCCAAGATCTACTCCTCGACGTAGAACGTACAAATCTAAAGATACTGATGATAGTCATCCTATCACCACCACTACTAATACAAGTCGTCGTCGAACTAGACATTCTTCTGGATTCGTTCAATCGAATACACGTGAAACCATTGTTTCACCTCAGATATTTGACGAAGAGGCAATGTTCCTTGGAAGAGAAGAATTTCTGAATGAAACTACTCCAAATGTGTCTAGCACATTTGATGAATGTGTCGAAGATGATGATGATGGTGCTGAATTTGGAGCGTTGTTAATGTCTAGGTTGGTTGGCTGTGATTTTCTGGATTTTTAGATGTTTTCTAGTGGTCCGGTATCTTGATCCAAGGTTAAATTTTATTTTTTAGGTTGTAATCATCACAGATGTAACCAATCTCTACAAAACCTCTTCAACCAAATTAGAATATTTAGATGACCAATGACTTCGTAATTTTCCTGGAGTTCTGTTAAAATGTTGTGACTGGTAAAGTTCAGTCATGTTGGGAGTGAAACGGTTGCCACCGATGACACTAAATCTTCTCGCCGTATTAGTTTGATTAAAATCGAACAGTCAAACTTGTCCTAGGAAACCTGAGGGTCTGGATTCACATCTTTGGTGGGCTCGTGGTTGTGCAATAACAAGGAGCCATGTACCAGGATGAAACAACTGTCTAGAGCTCTAGGGTTTCCAATAGTACTACGGGTTCAAACCGTTTCCACAAAACCCCTTCAACTGAATTTAATTCTGTTTGGTTGTCTGATCTGACAATTTATTGTTCATCTTGACTAACCAATACGCTTTTTCCTTGAACACTAATCGATTAATTGAATCAAAGTAATTCATTTTACATTTTATAATATAGCTTAACAAATCCATATTTAAAGAGTATATTTAAGAACAGTTAGGAACTTTTGAACCCCAAACGGTAATCTAGTAATCAAACTCTCTGAGTTAGTTATACATACTTATCACATTAAGTCATCAGTTCCAATCAAAGTAGAGTTGTTAGCCATAGAAACCAATGTTTTAAACCCCTACATAAAATTACACTGAAAATAATGTCAAACCCCCAAATGCCCTACTACGGCCGAGAGTGAGGATAGTCAGCTCTCCCTCTTGAAATACTCTAACATGGCCACGCGTATACAGCCACTACCAGAGAAGTCCTATTCAATGCCTTGTAGCGCCACGAGTGTTGCTTACGAAATTGAGAAGACGAAAAGCAGATATACGACGCTCTAACCGGGTTGGTGGATACGGAAGATACACCTAGGAGAGTTGAAAAACACTGATTACAAATCAATGGTGCACATGGGCTACTAGGATCCTAAAGAAACAAATGGCGTATGAACCTATTGTTAATCACTCGCTACCATGGAACTGCATCTCATGAAGTTACTCCACTGCCTTGTGGATTTGACCTTTAGGTCAATGACTCGGAGTGTGGGGCCCCCTCAGAAAACCACCAGCTTCGGTCTGGGCACACGGGCAGTATCACAGCCCACACCCAAATCAAGTGACTTGTGTGGCATATATGTATTTTGTGCCCCTTTTAACAATATTTTTGTGTTCAAATAAATAAATAAATACTCAGCTTTATAGAGAAAATAATTCAATTTTAGGGATATGAATAAATAATAATGTTTATTGTTAACATTGTTCCTTTTGAACTTTCTTTCTCATATATAGAAAACGTAGAAAAATATCTCCAGTTTGTACACCAACACAACCTCCTGTATTTCGCTTGAACACATTAGTTGCTGCAACTACTTCGGCTGGTTCCACTAATACTCATGAAGTTTTCACTGGATCACCTAACTCTCATGATTTGACTGGGAATCATACACCATATTCATTTGGGAGTAATAATTTCATGACTGACAACCTGATAAATGCACCTAAGCGTAATATCAACTGTATTTCTGACGGTTCCGTCAATACTGTTGCTAACAGTAACAGTAGTGACTATGGTACTTCAGATACTACTATTAGTACTACTGTTAATACTACTTCTGCCACTACCATTAGTATTAGTGATACAAAACAATCTGGTATGATCAATAATTCTAAAGCATCGGTATTTAGCACATGTCCAGTAGTTAAATCTATTCATCAAACAACATTTGCTCCATTGCATGTATTCGATCGTCCTTCAACTGCGGTTAGGTAAGTGTTTGACAGAAATATGATTATTATCAGAAGGGGTTTTGTGGAGATTGTAGTAATTTCAATGATTAAGATCATGAGTCAGTTGAAGCTAGACCACCATGGAAAACCTGGAAGCACTGGACGAAACGGCCGTCCAGTGCTTCCAGGTTTTCCATGGTGGTCTAGCTTCAATTGACTCATGATCTTAATCATAGAAATATGATTGATTCATATACATATTTGTATCTTTATACTAAAAGTCGCGTTTCTTTTGTTGATATTTGATTTCATTTATAATGCTGTTTCATATGTTGTATGTTTAGTGATAACTCTTTATAGTGTGATCAAAATTGAAATGATCTATTTGGTCTGTTTTCACGCAAGACAATGTGTCCTCTGTCAGGAATTCCCATTATAACTACTTCTGTTGAACCCTAACACAGATTGTACTACTTATGGAGATATACTTTTTTTGATCTTATTGTTTTCAGTAGTTTATTTCTTGTATAGAGATTCTGTAATTGATATAAAGTTTGTAGTCTTGCTAAAGAAATTGCTGGAGATATATTATTATGTATTCATCAACATATTTTGCAAAGCTTCGAGGATGTTTTCCATGTTTTTTGTATAAGCGTAGGACCAGGCACATATATGCATCACTCCAGGTTACCATACCTCAACACAAAAAGATGAACACCGCATTCATAGAAGTAGTTAATGCAGTCGTGGTATTATATAAACGAAGGATTACATATAAGAATTAGTTGGTAGAAAGAAAGATATGAAGCGATTTTAATCTCTTAGTTCAAGGGGAAACAGAGAGTGTATACACCGACGCCATTATGATCGATTCTGAGCCATGTCACACAGAGTCTCCAACAGTTAGTTACGATAATCACGCAGTCCGCAACCAAGTAGTGCGCATCTACCAATATTGCTTAGACCAGAAGTTAATGACTTCAAGCACTGATACCACGTTTTGGTTTGGTTGTCCCTTGCTTTCTTCCAACCATCCCCAACACTAGTCAGTATTGCGCGTTGTGGTAATCGGTGTTCAGACATACGTAACAAACAAAAGACAGGTAACTTGTTGTGATATATTGATGTCAGGAACAGACAGCCCAGATATTTAAGCAGGCCGACAGTGATTTAAATATATTCAAAAAAAGTTGATGGTTCATATAATTAAACAGGTACAAAATCAAATGTTATTCATTTATAAACGTTGAATAAAGCGAGATAATATCTTCATTCCTTCCAATCACCTCCCTCCACGTACTTACTTACTTACGCCTTTTACTCCTCTTGGAGGAGCATAGGTCGCCCACCAACACTCTCCATCCAACCGTGTCTTGGACAATCCTTTCCAGTTGTTATTCATCCTTTTCATATATGCTTCTATTTCCCTATGTAATATGTTCTTTGGCATTCCTCTTTTTCACTTCCCTTCACGATCCCAAGTTAGAGCTTGCCTCTTGATACAGTTTGATGATTTCCGTAACATATATCCTCATCAGTTGGAAGTTGGTTTGTTCTATCCCACAGTAGACTGTTACTGATGATATCCACCAAATAGATGTTGAGTATCTTGCATAGACAACTATTGATAAATCCTTGTACCTTCTTGATGTTAGTTGTAATAGTTGTTCATATTTTAACTCCTATACAATAGATTAACTTTCTTTATTTATCTATTTATATTTTCTTTATAATTTTAGTGATTCTATCGATAATACAACAACAATTCACAGTAGTCAAAGTAATTCAATTTGTATAACATTACATAAACAATTATTTGGTGGAATTGATGAACTATCATCTAATAGTATAATTAATCATAAATTATCTGAAAATATTTATGAAAATTTAGAGAATATTCCTCCTAATCTATTGAATTCACCATCATCTTCATTATCATTATTATCATCACCATTATCAAAATCTCATATCATTCCATTATCATATGATGATCATACTAATCATAATCATAATGATCATTCACGTCATTTATGGGATGAAAATTCAATAGATATACCATTATCACCAGTATTACATCAATTACAATCATCAATGGAATCGAATTATCATTCTTATTTATCTAATAATAATAATAATAATAATCATAATGATCATAATCATAATTTATTCTCATCTAAATTCATAGTACCAATGATACAAAAATCAATATTACATCATAATAATCAATTATGTAATAATCATATATTACATCCTCGACGTAATTTATTCCAATAATTCTATTCTGTTATTGTCTCTGTCTCTGTCTCTCTCTCTCCTCCCCCCTCTTTCTTTTCTTTTCTTTTTCTTTTAATTATTGTTATTATTAATAAATGTATTTATTCCCACTTTTTATGTATTGATTTTATTTTATTTTTTTGTTTCTCTTTTTTTTTGTTTTGTTTTTTTCTCGTTCTTTCTATCTAGTCATTTTGTTTTTAGTTTCCAAGTGGTTTTTCTAATGTAAATTTTTGTTTTTAAAAAAAAAATTATATTAATCATCAATTCTTATTGAAATGATTTTTTATACATGAACATTATGATACAATGACATATGAATATTATTTATGATAGAACTATGGAAATAAAATCAAAATCTTCTTCAGTAGTATTTTGGTCTTTGCATAAATCAGATGATTTGTATGATAAATATGTATTTTGGTTATTGCATTTTTATAATCCATGTTTGTGTTTAAATCTATGAGGGGAGGGGGGAGAAAAGAAAAACAACAACCACAATAACAACCTTCTTCGTGTAAATTTGTGTTATATATATTGCTAATATCTTGTAAGTAGTATCTATCTATATATGTATATAAAAACAATATTTTTTTTTAATGGATCTTGAGTATTTTTCATTTTTATCATATGGGTTTTATGGATATTATAGTCATTTCAATGGTTAAGATCATGAGTTAGTTGAAGTTAAACTACCATGGAAAACCTGGAAGCATTGGATGTGTCGCTCAATTTCGTGAATTAGTGGAAGTTAGATATTGACACCGTTGGATGCCGGCCAGCTCAGTGGTCTAGTGGTTAAATGCTCGTGCACGCGAGACCAGTAGGTCGTGGGTTCAAATCTGGCAGGGGGCGAGGTCGTGGATGCGTACTGTCACTGAGAAGTCCCACAATAGGATGAAACGGTCGTCCAGTATTTCCAGGTTTTTCATGGTGGTCTAGCTTCAACTGACTCATGATCTTAACCATTGAAATTATTTTTCATTTTATTTAGAATTTTATATTTAAAAAATTGATATTTATTGTAGTATTTTATTTTTCCATTTGGTTGTGGTTAATGCGATGAATGTAGTATTGGATACTTTTATTGATAATCGAGTCTAATGGAACAGTTTGTTTATAGTTATTATGTTCTATTATCATTGATAATGTATAGTGTTATATATTGGGCCGCTGAATAGAAGGCAGTGACTTATCGATCGGACCAATGACGCGTAAAACACGTACGAGCAGCCCTAGAGTTCTGATTTCCGTCTAGCTCAGCCAGTTGAGTCCAGAACACCAATCTCAACCTCTGCAATATGAATCATGTATTTCAAACATACTGGGTTTATATACCAACCAGACAGACCACAACGTACCATAAAATGGAAAATAACAAAATTTGGCCGAATGTGGGAGGCAGTGACTAATAGACAGTCAGTCTTCTGCAACGTAGGACTCGACACATATATGCATCGGTCCAAGTTGCCATACCGCATTAGCACAACAAGATGAACACCGGATTCATAAAAGTAGTCACATCAAAGGTAGTAGTATATAAAAGAAATATTGTGTATAAGGATATAATACAGGAAGAAAGAATTAGTTCATAGAAAGAAAGACATGAAGCGATTTTAATCTCATGGTTTAAGGGAACAGAGAGTGTATACACCGACGCCATTGTGATCGATTCTGAGTCATGTCACCAAAAGTCTCCAAACAGTGGTTACTATAGTCACGCGGACCCTAACCAGGCAGTCTGCATCTACCAACATGGCTCAAACCAGAAGTTAGTGACTTCAAGCACTGATGCCATGTTTTGGTTTGGCCGTATAACTCAAGAATGGAAAATCTTATAATAACAGTTCATAAGGTAAAATAAAGCTTATGATAAGTGAGACATGAATATCAACAGTTTAGTTAATTAACAATTATACGTGCAGTATTGGTCCACAAATGGATCCTGAAAATTACCACTCATTATACTTATCGCAGCATAACATAGTAACATTTCTAGTACTCTAGTATTTGTCTTCATCATATCATTTCACTGTATTCATATAGTGTAGCGTTATGAATCAATATGCGTTATTTATGACTAATTATAAAGTTGTACAATAAGTAAATGTATATTCAATGTAGAAATTTGTTGTTTCATATCATAAATGTATAAGTTGGCGAATGTTTTCATTAACTGTAAAACACATTGTGGTATAGGTAATCCTAGTTTATGGCTGTGAAATATGGCCGGCAAGAGTAGAAGATCTTCGTAGGTTACTAATATTCGATCATAGGTATCTTCGAAACATTGCTCGTATATCCTGGGACCACCGAGTAAGTAATGCACTTGATAGGAAACAAGTACTAGGTGAGGATGTCAAGTCAATTGATGAAGTAGTGAAACGTCATCAGTTGAGATGGCTGGAAGTAAGCTATGGGTGACCAGACCAAAACATAGCACAAATCCGTGAAGTCACTGATAAGTGAACTGAGTGAGCCATGTCAGTCAGTAACAACGTGGAACTTCGTACGTACATACATTAGTTCGAGTTGCCATACTACATTAGCATAGAGATTCAGTTATCGAGCCATGTTGCTAGGTGTAGACTACCCGGTTGGGGACCGCGAGATGATAGCAACCGATGGTTAGAGATCTTGAATAACATGATTCAAAATTGTCTACGATGGTGCAGGTGCATCCACTCTTTGTGTTCTCCCAAATTCTAATCTGAATTCTTCATGTCCTTTATTTTCTTTCCAAATATATTTCACTGGATTATACTCCTTGAATAAGAACTTCAAACCCTAATGTTTCCGATTACTGCTTATACTCTTACTACCTCTACCACTATGGGATTTGAATCGAAAACTGCATTTTTGTGCTAATGTGGTATGGCAACTCGAATTGATGTACTACGTACAAAGTTGTACGTTGTTGCTGACTGAATGAACGCTCATTTATTGTAGGTGACATGAAATTGCTTTTTTATGTTAACAGGATCGTCACTACTTCAAGGTCTAACAGATTATTCATAAACAACATAATACCTGGAGTATATGTGTGTTTGCAACATCCTATCAGCACAACAAGATTAAATCATTAAGACAAATATTAGTGTGACAGAGGTAGTAACAGTACTTACACCAGTACTTAATAACTTACGCCTGTTACTCCTCGCGAAGGAGCATAGACCGCTTACCAGCATTTTCCATCGAACCCTGTCCTGGGCAATCCTTTCCAGTTGTTATTTATCCTTTTCGTATATGCTTCTATTTCGCGACATAATGTGTTCTTTGGCCTTCTGCTTTTCCGCTTCCCTTCAGGATTCCAAGTTAGCGCCTACCTTGTGATGCAGTTTGATGATTTGCGTAATGTATGTCCTGTCCATTTCCATCTTCTTTTCCTAACTTCCAATTCAGCTGGAAGCTGGTTTGTTCTCTCCCACAAAAGGCTGTTGCTGATGATATCCGGCCAATGGATGTTGAATATCTTGCGTAGACAGCTATTGGTAAATACTTGTACCTTCTTGATGGTGGTTGTTGTAGTTCTCCACATCTCAGTACCGTACAGCAGAACTAACTGCCTTGACGTTCGTATTGAAGATTGTGACTTTGATATTGGTTGATAGACAGTTGTTTTGAGTTCCATATGTTCGTCAATTGAAGGAATGCTGTCCTTGCTTTGCCAATCCTCGCTTTTACGTCTGCATCTGAACCTCCTTGTTTATCGACGATGCTTCCCAGGTATGTGAAGGATTCCACATCTTCCAGAGTTTCGCCATCATGAGTGATTGGTTTGCTGTTCTCCGTGTTGTATTTGAGGACCTTGGTTTTCCCTTTGTGTATGTTGAAGCCTACTGATGCAGAGACTGCTGCTATGCTGGCTGTCTTTAACTGCATTTGTTCGTGTGTATTGGATAGGAGGGCTAGGTCATCTGCGAAGTCCAAATCGTCTAGTTGGTTCTGAGCTGTCCATTGTATGCCGACTTACACTAGTGGGAAATAATATTACGCAGAGGTTTTTGTGTGAGTGGGACATAGATTGGATTTAAGCATGCTCAATGCATGATTGCTTTGGCGCACGCTGATTGGCTGATTCTTATCCAATCAGCGCTAGTCGATACATGGAGAAGACTCTAGAATCTTCTCATGTAAAAGCTATAAATATACTAACGGTTTTCCTTTTGTGCTTCTTTCTTCCATTTAACGTTGTTATTTGGAATATAATCTCCTTCCTGTTCAACTGTGTTCTGATTTGGGGACTTGTCGAGTGAATTGGTGTCCGTGAATACTAAGCAATAGGAATAGCTGCGTTATAACCATAAGAGAGAGAATTATAACAATTTGATTCTAAAAGAAAGAATGAATTCGTAGAATAAAAAAAAACAAGATAGTCTTAAAACTCAAGATTTAAGAAAAGATAAATAGTAGGTACATCTACATCATATCACACAACTTGCGATAAAGGTCTGTAGTTGTAACACAGCTATAGTGTTTCCCGTGAATAAATATCTTCCCAGTTATATTGTCTTCTCGTAATAATTAGTTTTTAAGATTATTGCATTCATCTTTACCCAATAAATTTGTAATGTCAGCTGTGTAATTTTCAAATGTGTAAACTCATATTAAGCGGGATAAATGGTGGGTAGCAGTGAAATTCAGGACTCAGACACAGGGTGCACATCAACTTTGAGGTGTATGTTCATCCAGCTGACGAGTCCCAAGCAGAATGAAATACATGTCTTGGATTCCATTACTAGTCACCATCCATCTCTGTATATAATGCCTCTGACTTAATGTCAACATTTAGGTAGGATCCATATACGTCAAAAGAGACTAATCAATTGCAGTCCTTAATACCAATGAACAGATCTAAACAACAAATATACATGTATAAACTCTTAATTTCATTGTCAAATACGAATATTCTACATCTTTAACAGTTTATTTCTGAGGTCATACTCAAGTCATCGCAGCCATTAACGATTACCCAGTGTATTTCTGAGGTTACTTTAGAATAAATATATTTACTCTGTATAGGCATCTAGGAATTGTTAAACCCCTGCATATCGGCATGGGTGTTTACGAAATTCAGAGGACGAAAAGCGAATGTCTGTCGCTCTAACCGAGTTCGTGAACACAGATAGCTCACCTAGGGGAGTTGGAGAACCCTGATTTCAAGCCAATGGGGCACATGGGCTCCAGGATCCTGAAGGAACTAATAGCGTATAAACCAATCGTTGGTCACCGGCTACCATGAGACTGCATTTCCTCACGATGCTCTACTGCCTTGTGGGTCAGACCTTCAGGTCGAAGGCTCGGGATGTGGCCCTCCTAAGAATACTACCTACTTCGGTTTGGGTACCCGGGCAGTATCCCAGCGCTCACAGAAATCGAATGATTTATGTGGCGTATATCTATTTAGTGCCTCTTTGTACCAATGTTTATGTGTTTAAATAAACAAACAAAATATCTTCATTTTGATTAAATCAGATTACATTCAGGTTTAGTCTTTTTATCAGTTAATATTGACAATCTATAATCCAGTGATCTGATCACGAACGTACACAGATACCAAATTTATAACAAAAATTATTTTCAAACATTGAACTACTTTCCAACATCAGTAATTAAGAAAAGATGTAATTGTTGAACTACTAATTGATATAACTTGTATCCTACTATCGCCAATTAGAGAGCAGTAATTTGTCGACTGAACCCATAAGAACAGTCTACATTCTTTATCGATCCTTCTTCCTGCCTAGCCCTACCCACCTATTGAGTCCAAGAACACGAATCTTAGCCTCTGTGATATGAATCACATATTTCAATCATACTGGGTTTATATACAAACTAAACAGACCACATTATACCATAAAATTCTCATTTGTACACGATCTAGCCAGACTGTAATGAATAGACTGGACATAACTCATGAATGGTAAATCGTATAATAACAGTTCATAGATCCATATAAAGCTTATAATAAGAGGAACATGAATGTGCATAGCTTAGCTACTTAACAACTATACAGCACAAAATATATGTGTCCTATTGGTCCATTAAGTTACCATTCATAATTCTCGTCCAGATATAACACTAATAACTAAACTATAACAAAAAGAGTTTAGATTCCATCT